ACACACACACACAGACACACACACTCACACACAACACACACAACACACACACGACACACACGACACACACAACCACCGGCAAATACAAACATAGACATCCACACAAATGCATTCACAAAACTAAACACACATACACAGACACGCACATGAACACAGACATGCATACAAATGCACTCACAAACACAGACAAGCACCCATGAACACACAAACTTGAACACATGCACACGCACGCGAACACATGAGCATGAACACACAAACACCCGTTCGAACACAGGCGAACACACATACATGCTAGTACACATGAACACAAACACACATGAATGCAATGAATGCACTCATGCAAACACATGCATGAACCCACACACTTGTGCTCTCTCACATGCACACAAACACAAATCACCCCATGGAGAGCAATGTCGCCTCAGTATCTATCCTACCAAGCCTGCTCAGAGAAGGACGACATAGTACCCCTTCCTGATCTTGAAACCTATGCTATACTTCAACCAGTTATCAATGAGAGAGAGTGGGTATTAGCAGTTTTAGCAGGCTAGGAAATAGAAGAATCACCAGGACCAGATGAGATGTATCCCAGGCTGCTTTGGAAGACAAGGGAGGGGATTGCAGGGATTCTTGACATGAATTTTCCAATCCCCTCTAGCCACAGGAGAGCTGACAGAGGACTGGAGGAGAGCTACGATTGTTATATTATTCAAGAAGTGTGATAGGGATAAATCAGGGAATTGCAGGCCAGTGATTCTAACATTGTTGGAAGAAATTCTGAGGGACTGAATTAATCTTCACTTGGAGAGGCATAGATTAATCAAAGACAATAGGCATGGCTTTGTAAAGAGGCGAACGTGTCTAACAAATTTAATTAAATTTTTCAAGGAAATTATTCGGTGTGTAGATGAAGGGTAGTGCAGCTGGTTAAATAATCTACATGGACTTCAATAAGGCCTTTAGCAAGGGTAATTTGTCCGACCTTATGGAGGTTTATATAAGCATAAAGAGGCATTGATAGAGTAATTAGAAAATGTCTTTTCCCAGGGGTAGGGGCATCCAAAGCTAGAGGGCAAGGTTTAAGGTGAGAAGGGGAAAAATTCAAAAGTGATCTAAGAGGGTGATGCATGTATGGAATGAGCTGCCAGAGGAAGTAGTGGAGACTGGTACAATCACAACATTTAAAAGGCATCTGGATGGGTACGTGAATAGGAAGGGTTTATAGGGATATGGGCTGGAAGCTGGCAAATGGAACTAGATTTAGTTAGGATATCTACTCGGCAGGGATGAGTTGGACCGAAAGGTCTGTTCCATGTTGTATATCTCTATAAGTTTATAAGAGCTAGGAGCAGGAGTAGGCAGTTCAGCCCCATATGCTGGTTTCATGATTTAAAAGAATCATGTGTGACTTCCAATCAACTTCAGCTCCACAAATTGAAACTTAGTGGCAGAAAGTAAAGGATGATGGATGAAGGTAGACCGGAAGCCTTGTGTCCTGTGGCTTTCGGTGCTGGGTCACATGTTCACTAATGATCTAGACATGTATGTAAGAGGTGTGATCGATAACTTTCACAGATGAGACTAAAATGTGGTAAATAGTGAGGAGGAAAGCCTTAGACTACAGGAACATGCGAATGGGCTGAATGGTAGCAAATGGAATTTAATCCTGAAAAGTATGAGGTGATACATTTGGGATACATAATATGGCACTTAGGAAGTTCAGAGGATCAGAAGGACCTTGGCGTGCATGTCTATACATTCTTGAAGGCATCAGGGCAGGTAGATAAGGTGATTAAAAAGGCGTATGGGATAGTTGTCTTTATTAGTCAAAGCACTGAATAGATGGGTGTGGAGATTATGATGCAGCTGGAGCACTGTAGGAAGGATGTGATCGCACTAGATGGGGGGGAGAGGAGACTCACCAGGATGTTGTCTGGGCTGGAGCGATTCAAATAGGCTGTGGTTGTTTTCCTTAGAGCAGAGGAGGCTGAGGGAGGACCTGATTGGGGTGCAGAAAGTCCTGAAGGGAATAGATAAGGAGAAATATTTCCCCTTAGTAGAGGGGTCAGTAACTAGAGGGAACAGTTTTCAGGCAAGGAATGAGAGGTTTAGAGGGAAGTTGAGGGGGACAAAATGAGGGTGATGAATATTTGGAATCACTACCTGAAGGGGTGACAGAGGCAAGGGCCCTCAAGACAGTTAACTTTTTAGGTAAACATTTAAAGCGGCACAGTGTACAAGGCTTCAGACCAAGTGCTGGAAAATGGGATTAGAAAGGATAGATGTTTGATAACCAGCACAGACATGATGGACCGAAGAGCCACTTTCCATACTGAAAATGCAATAAAAATCCTACAAACCTCAGAAACCTCTCTCTCCTTAATTGAGTTTCTAATTTCTACCTGAAGTAGAACTGTTTTTATTACCATTTTATTTTATTTCCTTTACAGAAACTGCCTGCAAAATGCAAAAAGCTGTTCCAGAAATTTGAGAGCTTAACGGTGAGTAACAGACTGCCCTTCGCTCTGGATTCACCATGAACGTGAACATAAACATTCCCTCCGATGCTACAAGGTCACCAGTGTTCCTAGGAAGTTTAGGAGTCCTTTGCAAACAATTGGCTCCAAATATGAGGGTGCTTTTTATGGCCCCTCCATCAGCTTATCTGAAGCCTGGGCATGGTGACAGATAAGATAGTGTGTGGTCAGGTCAGTGTCTTCCTGCCCAGCCCCTGACTTGAGTCCCATGTTAAGAAAGGTGTGGATAAGGTGTCAGATTTGATGCTGGGACCCTTGCTGTTTGTCTCCATTAACGATCTATAAGGCCCTTAAATCACCAACAGATGGTCACTTACGGCCCTTATTCTGCTGCACTGTAATAGTATTTGTGGTGTAGTAATAAATACTAATATTGTGGCTGGACAAAGCCAGTGCGACAGGTTTTACAGCACAGTCAGTACCCAGCCTGTCCTTCCTGACCTATCAACAGGCCTCTGTGCTGCTCAAACCCCACTCAAAGAAGGTACCGTGCAACCCTCCTCACTCTCTGCGCTATCCCCTGCAGCTTTTATAACCCCACCCACACTGGGGTCTCCAATGTCTACCTGTCCAACACCCTCAGATCCTCCTTCAAGTCTAGGAGATGTCTTCAGACCTCCTCAGAACTCCTTGCAATCCCAGCAGGTGCCACTACATGCAGCTGGCACTACTGGGTCTACAAGAGCCACCAGCCAATCAGATTAGCCAGCAGTCTTTGAGGGTGGAACTTGCTGTCCTGAAGGCTGGCAGTGCCACTCTTAAACCAGAGACAGCTTTAATGAGGTGTTGTCAACAGGGAGCAGCCTGATTTAAGGTTGATGAGCTATCACCAACTTTTCCAATAGATTCACCCCCCCTGTAAAATTCCCCATATCTCGGGTCGACCATCAGTCCTTGATCCACTGAAGAGGAAGGAGCAGTCCCTTCCTTTTGATTGATGGTAAACTGCCATCTTCTGAATAGTGTGGAGTCTTATGTCACAACCTGCCACTGAATGGACATTGTCATTGGCCAACATTTAGTGAAATATTTACACCCACAGCTGGTACTTGGTACATCTATACCTTGTTATCTCAGACTGTCCAGCATCTGCAGTTCCTACTATCTCTGGTACTTTCTCCTGCTCCTTCACAAGGCAAATGGTTTCCCCGTTTTACTCAGGGAAAACATTCCCATTCTTCATTCCAGGTCCAAACTGCACCAACCAGTCTCTGTTGGCCTGTGACACAATATCTCATGCAAACCTTTGTACCAGGAAGATGCAGTCCGATAATCAGGAAGGCAGCTCTTCCATGCTGGCTGTTTTAGATTTCATTGGATCTAATGGCTGGCAGCTAAATTCCTTGACTTTTTTTTAAACAGGATCCCTCACGAAACCATAAATCCTACAGAGACACCATCGCCAGGATGAAGCCTCCACTTATTCCTTTTGTTCCCTTGCTGCTGAAAGGTAAAACGCCTAACACTGTCACTAGAACCAAGCCTGCCTTGATATAGCTTAGTTTCGTAGAATCATAGAGCAGTGAATGTGTCCATTCAGCCCACTTTGATTTTGATGGCCCTCTGAAAGAACCATCTGATTGGTCCCACTCCCCTGCACTTTCCACAGAGCCCAACAAATCTGTCAGGGTGTCAGTTTAATCCCTCATCAGAAAGATGGACAAAAGGTTGATATTTATTTGTGTAGATTTATTTAATGAGTATTTGCAAACTCTACTACCCAAGAGGACAAGGGCAGCAGGTACACCACCACCTTCAAGTTCCTCACCAAGTCACTCACCATCCTGACTTGGGACATTGGCGTTCCTTCACTAAAAATCCTGCAATTCCCTCCCTAATGGCACTGTGTGTGTGTGTGTGTGTGTGTGTGTGTCTGCACTGCATAGGCTGAGCAGTTTAAGAAGGCGGCTCACCTTCTCAAAGTGCAATTAGGGATGAGCAATAGATGCTGGCCCAGCTAGTGACATCCACATCCTGCAAATAAATATGTTTAAAAATGTGTAAGAAATGGCAAGGAACCAGGAGGTGGCCCATTGATTGCGGAACTAATTCTGTGCCTTTGCCAGTAGGAGCAGGGAAAATTCTCAACGAGAGTTCATTCAACGTAGAATGATGGAAGCATCTAGATTTCCATTCCACAGTGACTTGAGCATGTATAAAGGTTCTCCCAATGAGTGGTGTGACTGCATTTCCCAATGTAGGGAGATCCTGTGGTTCTAAACCTGGTCTTAATGTCAATGTTCACCAGCAGCTCACACATCTAGGCAGATTAGCATAACTTCCAATTATTGAGAAACACTTGTAAACTTGCCTGTATTGCTAGAAATAAAAAGTACATTGAAAGCTTGATATAGAAAGCAGCAGAAAGCAATGAGAGGAAAAGAGGCCTTGGGGAAAAAGTGGTGTGAGAAATAATATCAGGTTATAGATTGATTGAAAAGCCGTGAGATGAATTTTTCTATGTCCGGGGGGAACGTTTGTAGAACTTCTGAATTATTCAACATCATGTTGGTTTGGCGTAGGTATAATTACTGCATAATTTACAATTATATATTTCTTGGTGACTTTTGCAGACATGACATTCATACATGAGGGCAACAAAACATTCTTGAATCAATTGGTGAACTTTGAAAAGATGGTGAGTGTTGCTTTGTAAGTTCTAGCACATATCACAGTCAATCTAGAGAAAAAACATACTGTAACACACCGCACCACCCTCGGTCCAAAGGGACAGTTTTCTAGCGCACAGCACCATCTTATATCCAAAGGGATAATGTTTCAGCACACTGCACCATCCTGTATACAAAGGAACAGTTTCTAGCACACTGCACCTCCCTTTATTCAAAGGGGACAGTGTTCTAGCACACCATGACATCCTGCATCCAAAGGGACAGTGTTCTAGCACACCGCACCATCCCACATTCAAAGGCACGGTGTTCTAGCATGCTGCACCATCCTCTATTATAGGGGACAGTGTTCTAGCTCACCACACCATCCTGCATTCAAAGGTACAGTGTTCTAGCACACCACACCATCCTCTATCCAAAGGCACAGGGTTTTAGCACACCACATTATCCCATACACAAAGGCACCGTGTTCTAGTACACTGCACCATCTTTTTTTTCCAAAGGGACAATGTTCTAGCACATTGCACCATCCTGTATCCCAAGGAAACATAATCTCGAACGATGTACCACAGTACCACAATGGAGCATATTTCAGAAAACTGCAAACCAACTCCTCCTAAAATTGGAAATATTTGAATCCTACAATTTGCTGAGAAAAATGGATGACAACTTTGAGGCACCTGAAACTATTTGAAAATCATGAGAGCAGCAACCCAACTGCTAGGCATCACATTTGTGTTTTTCAGGAAGGCATGATTTGGTCTTAAAACTGCATCCCAGGGACACATTGCGATGATCAAAGCTGGATGTGAACTCAGTCTGACTAACTTTGATGACACTACTGTTAAGTGGCAGATTCACCATGCAATATTAATTTGCTGTCAGCATTTTTGGGGAGCTGTAGTACAGCAACAATGCAAACTTGTGGCAGACAATTCCCCGTGATTTTGACAGATTGCCTGTTTCTTTTAATCACTTTCCAACATATGAACATACAAAGGAGGAGCAGGAGAAGGCCATTCAGCACCTCCCGATCTGCTCCACCACTCAGTAAGATCATAGCTGACCTGATGACTGCACATTCCTGCCTACCCATGAAAACCTTTCACCCACTCACTTTCCAAGAATCTCTCTACCTCTGCCTTCAAATTATTCAATGACTCTGCTTCCACTGCCTTTTGAGGAAGAGAGTGTGTAGATGTGGAGGATGAAGAAAGTTACCACAGTCCCAGAGGACCATAGGGCTGCTCTCTCATTAGAGAAAGAGATGCAACTAGTGGTGGTTTAACGTGAGAGTCACCACACTTCAAGTGATGGGTGAGGGTGAGAAGGTGGGACCTTAATAATGACCTCGGCCAGTGTAGGAATTGAACCTGTACTGTAGATGTCACTTTGCATCTCAAACCAACCAACTGAGCTAACTGACCCCCAGCTGCAGGGTGAGGAGTTGGCAGGGCCACTAATTGGTTCATGTCCTGATGGGTGGCAATTCAGATTAGCAGAGCACAAGTTGAGTAAAGGAATGGTTACATAGCCTAGGCCAAGTTACAACAACAATAGGCGTTCTTTAAATGACACTTTTAACATGGCTAATCATCCCAGGGCACATCATAGAGATGCAAAAGGATACAGTCTGGTAAGGAGCTGGAAAACAATTACATACCAGCATACCATAATTGGAGTGTAATTAGGTGTGCGAACAGGGTCTTGTCACTGAAAAATCCTTTGCATTGGGTCAACTGTCTCCTCCTCTCTTGCAGCATATGGTGGCCAATGCAGTACGGACCATGAGGAAATATCGAAGTACCCCGCTCGGTAAGTTAATGGAGAGAATGAAAGAAACTGCTTCTATAATAACGCTAGCTTGTTTCTGCTCAAGTTAACAATAGATGCCGCCCTAAAGGTTAGCAATGTGAAGTCGCACAAACCAAATTAGATTTGTTCAGACAAAGTAAACAACACTGACAACGGGGTTCTCTTTCTCTGTTGGAGAGACTGAGATTCGTCCAGCGCCAGATGCAGGTTAATGTGCTTGACGTTGAGATAAGGGGCTGCTTTCTCAGAAAAAAACACTCACTCTCAGGGTGTGGGTTACGTTGCTAAGTCTGTACTTAGCTGAGCCAGCAGGAGTGGGCCACCTTCTGGTAATGACTGAATAGATCACAAATATTCAAGGTAAGGGGATGTTCAACCAAACAGAGGTGGCAACTTCCCATTCCTGGAAGTCATTAGTGCACCAATTGACTGTCTGCAACAAAGTGGCGGCCTAAACAGCCATTTTATCTGGGAACAGCTCACAGATGACCAGATTTCTCCGCTTGTGCAGTGAACTTGACTCAAGAACCTGAGGTTGCTAGACCAATGTCATAACCACTGTGGTACAATTGCCCCATGATGGTGACAATCCAGCATGTTGGAAGAGGTTGGTGGAGCTGTAAATCTCAATCACACTTCTTTCTTATTCACTTATGGGATGTGGGCATCGCAGACTGGGCCACTATTTATTGTCCATCCCGAGTTGCCCCTTGAGAAGATGGTGATGAGTTGCCTTCTTAAACCGCTGCAGTCCATGTGCTGTAGGTTGACCCACAATGCCCTTAGGGAGAGAATTCCAGGATTTTGACCCAGCAAAAGTTAAGGAATGGTGATACATTTCCAAGTCAGGATGGTGATTGGCTTGGCGGGGAATTGCAGGTGATGGTGCCCCCATGTATCTGCTGCCCTTGTCCTTCGAGATGGAAGTGGTTGTGGGTTTGGAAGATGCTGTCTGAGGATCTTTGAGTTTTTGCAGTGCATCTTGTAGATAGTACACACGGCTGCTACTGAGTATCAGTGGTGGAGGGAGAGGATGCTTATGGATGTAGTGCCAATCAAGCAGGCTGCTTTATCCTGGATGGTGTCGAGCTTCTTAATTGTTGTTTGAGCTGCACTCATCCAGGCAAGTGGGGAGTATTCCATCACACTCTGACTTGTGTCTTGTAGATGATGAATAGGCTTTAGGGAGTCAGGAGGTGAGTTACTCGCTGCAGTATTCCCAGCCTCTGACCCACTGTTGTAGCCACTGTGTTTATATGGCTACCCCAGTTGAGCCTCTGGCCAATGGTAACCTCATGATGTTGATAATAGGGGATTCAGTGATAGTATCACCATTGAATCTCAAGGAGTTATGGTTACTTTCTCTCTTATTGGAGAAAGTCGTTGCTTGGCATTTGTGTGGCATGAATGTTACTTGGCACTTGTCAGCCCAAGCCTGGTTATTGTCCAGATATTGTTGCATTTGACCACGGACTGCTTCAGCATGTGAAGGGTTGTGAACTCCAGCAACAGTGACTTACCAGTAAATAATCCTGGAAAAGCAATCAAAATAGCACAGAAACAGGCCCTTCAGCCCACCAAGCCCATGCTAATTCCTAATCTTGTGTAGACCAGCTACTTATTGTCCATGTGAGGTTTCTATCCCCCTCTTCACATCCCATTCATGTGCCTGTCAAGATACGCCGTAAAAGTTGCTAATGTGCCTGCTTCCACCACCTCCACTGGCAGTGTGTTCCAGGCACCCACCACCCTCTGTGTGAAATATTTTCCTCACACTTCTCCCCTAGACTTTCCCCCTCTCACCTTGGACCTGTGCTGCCCTGTAGTTGACCATTCCACCCTGTCTATGCCTCTCATAATTTTGTAGACCTCTATCAGGTTGCCCCCTCAGCCTCTGTCTTTCCAATGAAAACAATCCAAGTTTAATCAACCTGTCCTCATAACTAAAGTTTTTTACAGTTGTAAGATGACTTGCCAACTTTTACATTCGATGAGATATCCCCCAAAAGGCCTAAAGGCCCTCCACTGCCTCCTCTCCCGCAGGCCCAACCAATTCCCCCCCTCCAACACCCTCATCCGCTTAATGCAACTTGTTCTTACCCTCAACAACTTTTCATTTAACTCCTCCCATTTCCTTCAAACTAGAGGGGTGGCCATGGGCACCCGCATGGGTCCGAGGTATGCCTGCCTCTTCGTAGGATATGTGGAACAGTCCCTGTTCCGCTGCTACACTGACGCTACTTCCCACCTGTTCCTCTGCTACGTTGGCACTGCCTCGTGCTCCCATGAGGAGCTTGAACAGTTCATCAACTTTACTAACACCTTTCACCCCAACCTCAAATTCACCTGGGCCATCTCCAATACCTCCCTCCCCTCCCTGAACGTCTCTGGTAACAGTCTCAGCTTGGACATCTATTTCAAGCCCACCGACTCCCACAGCTACATAGACCACAACTCCTCTCACCCACCCTCCTGCAAGAATGCGATCCCCTACTCCCAATACCTCCGCCTCCGCCGCATCTGCTCCAAAGATGGGGCGTTCACTCCCACACATCCCAGATGTTCTCCTATTTCAAGGAACTGTAACTCTCCCCCACCCCATTGATCCACAATACCCTCAGCTGCATCCCTTACATTTCCCACAATTCTGCCGTCAAATACCCTCCCTTCCCTAACAAAAATAAAGACAGAATCCCCCTTGTCCTCACATATCACGCCACCAACCTCCACATCCAAAGTATCATCCTCCGCCACTTCCGCCACCTACAATCCGACCCCACAACCAAAGAGATATTTCCCTCCCCACCCCTATCTGCCTTCTGTAGGGACTGCGCTCTCCATGACTCCCTCGTTCGCTCCACACGCCCCACCAACCCCACCACATTGGTACCTTTCCCTGCAACCGCAGGAGGTGCTACACCTGCCTTTACAACCTGCCCCCTCAGCTCCATCCGAGGCCCAAGACAAACTTTCCATATCCAACAGGGGTTCACCTGTACATCCTCCAACTTGATCTACTGTATCTGCTGCTCCCGATGTGGCCTCCTCTACATCGGTGAGGCCGAGCGCAGATTCGGTGACCGTTTCGTGGAGCATCTGTGCTCCGTACTCTATAATCAATAACACCTTCCAATCGCCAACCATTTTTAACTCCCCCTCCCACTCCCTGGGTGACATGTCCAACCTGGGCTTCCCCCAGTGTCACAATGACACCACCCACAAACTGGAGGGGCAACACCTCATATTCCACCTTGGGAGCCGACAGCCCAATGACCTAAAAGTGGATTTCACCAGTTTCAAAATCTTCCCACCCCAGGCCTCATCAAATGTCCAACCCTCCGTCTCATCTGCACTTCCTTGACCTGACACAACCTCTCCATCTTCTTCCCCACCTATCCGCCCCACCCATCCCACTGACCTACTCCCTACCTGCATCCACCTATCACCATCCCGCCTGCCTTCCCCCACACCTCCTCCCTCTATTCATTTCCCAGCTCCCCTCCCCCTCTCCAGTCCTGATGAAGGGTGTAAACCCGAAATATTGAATTTCCTGCCCCCTTGATGCTGCCTGACCTGATGTGTTCCTCCAGTTCCACACTGTGTTGACTTTTATATTCAGTGCCCTGGCCAATGAAGGCAAGTGTGCTGTATGTCTTCTTCATCAGAGTATCCACCTGCGTTGCCACTTTCAGGGATCTGTTGGCCCGTACATCCAGATCCCCCTGTATGTTAATTTTCCTAAAAGATTCTGCCATTTTATTGTATAATTTGCACCTGAATTTGATCTTCCAAAATGCACCACCTCACATGTGTCCAGTTAAACTCCGTTTGCCATTTCTCCGCCCAAATCTGCAATCTATCCATATCCCACTGTATCCTTTGACAATCCTCCACCCTATCTGCAACTTGGTTGGTTTTGGTGACAGCTGTAAACTTGCTAATCGGGCCACCTACATTTTCCACTTACAAGAACTTAAAAAGTCAACAGGTCTGTAACATTAGCGAAGGTGTAATAAACGTCCCACTGCTGAAGGTGATGGCTGTTGTCTCATTCCAATTCCAGCCCTTACCTGAACAAGAGATGTTGAGTTCTGAAGGACATTGGAGTTACACCATAGATCTGTGTGCTAGTGAAATTACCTGGATAGCAAATAGGAACAGAGACTGCAGCTGATATTTATAGTCCATGGCCTGGGGATTGCTGAGAGGCCAGTCCATTACTGCATTAGCCACAACAAGTAAAGCAGCCCAGACTGAGAGAGAGCTCATGGGTTTCTGAGCTTATGCCACTCGGAATGTAGTGGGCACCTGAAAAAAACGAAGGAGAAATAAAACTTACATTTCTATAGTGCCTTATGTAACCTCAAGACTTCCTGAAGTGTTTCCCAGCCAGTGAAATACTTCAGTATTCACGTGTAGTCACGGTTACTACGAAGGAAAGGGAGCTGCCACATCAAGCTCTGAGAAACAGCAATGCGGTAATTCTTATGTAAGGTAGTTAGTATCTGACACGTTTCACTGGCCTTACGAGATAAGCTGTGCCCTTTCAGGCTGTCCCATTTGTTCCTGGGAGGAGTGAATTGGTGTGCGATAGAGTTCCATGGTTCCAGTCCAGTGTTAAACTCTATTTAGCAAACAATAATGTATTTTCACTCTTAAGTCTTGCGTGAGGTCTCACAAACCCTCTTGTGCAACTCAAATATAAAATAATTAACTATTAAATACTATATTGTAAACCTATTCTGTTCAACAAGACTGAGCTTCTCTTCAGGTGAAGACTTCATGGGCATCCTTCCTCAGTTAGTATCAGTTACTTAAACTAGATCAGTAAGAAGGATTGGTGCCAGTAAATCCACACAAGGCATCCCAGATGGTTCTGACGAACACGACCACAACCTGTAGAAATGGAGATAAAAACAGAAGTTGCTGGAAAAGCTCAGCCGGTCTGGCAGCATCTGTGAAGAAAAAAATCAGAGTTAATGTTTCGGTTCAGGTCTAAGAAATTGAGATAAGGTAGTCTGCGTTTTTGACCGAGGGATTATGAATCTTGGTTAAAACACTGCTTTCATAGAATCCCTACAGTGTGGAAACAGGCCCTTCAGCCCAACAAGTCCACACTAACCCTCACAGTATCCCACCCAGACCCATCCCCCTATAACCCACCTAATCTACACATCCCTGGATATTACTTGCAATTTAGCACGGCCAATCCACCTAGCCTGCACATCTTTGGACTGTGGGAGGAAACCGGAGCACCCGGAGGAAACCCACACAGACATGGGGAGAATGTGCAAACTCCACACACTCGGTCACCCGAGGGTGGAATCAAACCCGGGTCCCTGGCGCTGTGAGGCAGCAGTGCTAACCACTGAGCCACCATGCTGCCCCTTTGATATAATGCAGCTGTTTAAATCCAGCTGAGAGGGCAGACATTCCTTAAGTTTAATGCCTTATCTGAAAGATGGCACCTGCAACAGTGCAGTGCCTCCCTCAGTACAGCACTGGGAGTGTCAGCCTAGATTTTGTGCTTGGGGGGGTTCCTGAAGTGGGAATTGAAATCACAACCTGACTGAGGTGAGAGTGCGGCCGGATAAGCCGCGACGGTTAATGAGCCATTTGGTGCTGAAAGTGCTCATATTAATGGTGCTTTCTTTTGGTTTCAAGTAGAGCTGGAGTCTGAAGCGGCTGCAAACCACATTGAGATTAAAGCGTACATCCGGCAGCTCCATGTGATTGACAATCAGCAGTTACTTTATGACCTCTCTTATCGACTGGAGCCCAAGGACCCATAATCATCGGGGTGCTCTGCAATGCTCGCCGATGGCATTGGAAGTGTATGTGGCTGTGCCACTGCTGGATTGAACTCTGTGTGTGTGTGTGTGTGTGTAACCGTGTAGAGCCATCGACCTACAAAAAGAGATGCTGTGCCTGCCACAAGTTGAATGTACCCTACAGAAGCTGACCTCAAGGACTGCCTTTAGACCTATTCCAGACACCTTCAGTATATTGGACTGGTCTGCTACGGCCCAGGGACACTTGTGGTGTGTGCCCAGTGTTCTTACAAGAATTTTGTGCACTGATGTAGGACCTTAAGCGGGGAGCACTGAATGCCTGCAAGCTGTCTAAGACTATTACCCTTGAAATGTTCCATTTAAAGAAACCGTGGGCCTGCATGTTCAAAGAATATTCACTTTCAACTAACACAGGACGGAAACAGGATGGGTAAGTGGAGAGGGAGTGGGAGTGTTGTGTATGGGTCTTTCTCAGGAACATCCTCATTCCTGCTTTTGTCCAGAATGATTCACTTTCACTGAAGATCTAAATCAAATGCCCTCAGTATTTACACTGCTGTAATGTAATAGATGGTGACCCAGGACATTGGCTCCCTCTGTTGGCAAGGAGTAAATCGCATGAAGTTTGAACTGACTCTGGTGTGTGCCAATTGCATCATACCTGATGTGAAACCAGGAACCGGTAATAACACTGCTCGCCTTCACCCCCACCTACACACCCCCCTCCCTAATTGAAATATTTGTTAGCTGTGCCTCCATTTATAAGACCTACCACCTCATTGCCTACTTCAGATGACAGAACACTGTCTCCTCACTCGATATTGATGGCACCCTGAACTAGGAGGAAAAATGCAAGAACAACCTGAAGAATCAAAGGGAGGGATACACCCCACACTCTTTCTATTCCCTGTTTTGCCTCCCTGTGTATTGGGACACTGCTGTTTTGCCCCTTTGTTCTGGGAATTCACAAATGCAACACCACGCACAACCAACAGGTAGAGCATTATGAGGGTGTGCCATTGGAGGAAAAGATTGAGACATCAGTTTGACACCCAGCATTGTGCATGTTTAGAGTTGTATCCATTTTTGGTTTGTTGTAGAATTTCATTGTAATATAAGATGGATCAATTATTTTTTCAGTTTTTAATTTCAGTGTTGCATTTAGAAAATAATTTTTACAATTTTTTCAATTTTGTACAAAGAATGCTTTTTCTCATTTGGATTTATTTTGAGTTTACCGGGTGTAGATATGTAGTGTTCATCAAACTATCTCTGTTGTCTACTTGTAAAGAAAGCACTTACAGATCAGACTGAAATTATGCATAAGAGAATAAACAATTTTTTTAAAGATTGGGTTAATGTTTTAAGTTAATTTCCAGGTAAAGGAATGTGGAGCTAAGAACTATCAAGGTGTAACAAAGTTGTAAATAATATCGGGATTTGTAATAGAATGTAAACTAGGTTCTTTTCGAAACCATCTTGTTGCTTTTCTAAAGGTACCAGTGGAAATTTTCAGGAATGTATTTGCTGTGTCATTAGGGTGTATGATAGAAGTTTAAAGTCCAGAAAGAGACTATTTGGCCCATTGTTCTACTGCTATCATAGAATCCCTACAATGTGGAAACAGGCCCTTCGGCCCAACAAGTCCACACCGACCCTCACAGCATCCCACCCAGACCCATCCCCCTATAATCCACCTAATGTCACTTTGTCACTAATCACGAATGTCCTTTAGGGAGGGAAACTGCTATCCTTACCTGGTCTGGCCTACATGTGATTCCAGACCCACAGCAATGTGGTTGACTCTTAACTGCCCTCTGGGCAATTAGGGATGGGCAATAAATGCTGCCTAGCCAGCGACGGCCTCATCCCGTTAATGAATAATAAAAAAAGAATAATCTACACATCCCTGAACACCTTTGGACTGTTGGGGGAAACCGGATCACCTGGAGGAAACCCACGCAGACACAGGGAGAATGTGCAAACTCCACACAGACAATCACCCGAGGCTGGAATTGTGCCCGGGTCCCTGGTGCTGTGAGGCAGCAGTGCTAACCACTGAGCCATCGTGCCACCCCTATTTGTTCAATTGGAGCTAACTACATTTCCTGTAGTTTCTCCAAGTGTTTTTTCTGTTCTTCCTTTTCAAATACCTATTCAATTTCATTTTATATAATGTTATACCTTCTACTACCAGCCAGCCTAACCATATTTACCAGGGCTCCTTAGAGCTAAAGGGATAAATGGGATGAAAACAAGAATGGCGAATTGAGTTGGATGATCAACCGTGATGATATTGAATCCTGGAGCAGGCTAAGAAGGCTGAAAAGCCTATTCCTGCTCCTATTTCTAATATTTCTACATTTACCAGACATACTGAGCATTAGCCTTGCTTCAACTGCACTTCCCAGCCCTCACAACACACTCCTGTCACCTTCAAGTGGGCTGACAAAGCAATATAAACCTACCGTTTCTTTATAAAAGCTGAAAGAACTGCGGATGCTGTAAATCAGAAACAAAAACAGAAATTGCTGGAAAAGTTCAATAGGTCTGGCAGTGCCCGTGGAGAGAAATCAGAGTTAATGTATCAGGGTTGAGTGACCCTTCCTCAGAATTTTATTGTTGCTGGCCAGAACTCTGGAACACTCATCTGAACCATGGAGCAACATAGTCAGTAAATAACTCCAGTGGTTCAAGGAGAATGACCCACTTGTTGTCTTTTCAGGGAAACTAGGGATTGGCAATAGATGGAAAGAATTTTCCCCTTGCTGGAGATAGCAACAAGGAGGGGAAATAATTGGCCAGGTTTGTCCTGAGAGATATTCAACCCCTTCTCACTACCTTGATGATTAAATGCTGGGCAACAAGATTTGTAGACGGTTTTGTCAATTTGTCAGCGATCAAGACCCTTTAAATGGTCAATTAATGGTTACTTAAGGGCCTTAAACTGTACTACCTCCTACCTGCCTAGTGGGTACTTCAGGTATATCCTATATTTATTTCATTTTGCTACATCTGCAGTATTTTGTTTTTGCCTTCAATATGGAATCTATCTGCTTTTCACCTTTTAGCTGTCAGCCTCTCCATATTCTTGCTTGTCATGGGGAAACACTCCATGAAGTTGGAATAAGTCAAGGATACCTCTTGATGTGTCTATTTTTCTCACCATTGCTACCACCAGTCCCATCACCGCACAGCCAAGTAGAAAATCCTGTCCTTTACTCCACTGTGGCTCATTTGTTCTCAGTTCATTATATGAAATATTTGCTTTAATACTTTCTCTCCATCAATTTACAACATTTGCTCATGATGCAAATGTTTCATTTTTCAATTCATGGCACTGTTATGGGATTTGGCGATTTTTATGACTCACACGTTGGAAATAAAGCCCCGCTGTTCCCAGAATCATCACAAAGTTAGAGTCACAGAAGTCTACAGCACACTTTCAGAATTCTTCAGTTTGCCTGTCTTTGAGATTCAGCTTGACAGAAAGCATGGACCAGATTTCTGTACTTTAGAAAGATTATTATCTATTATAAATAAACAGGTAAACAATTATGAATTGTCAACATATAACTCGCACTCCCCTACACTCATACAGAAAGATATACATACAAATAAAACCATTGGTGTCATGGGCAAAGGATAAAACTGGGAAGGCCATTCATTGGTCCCAACCAACAGAATTCACTGAGATAATCATTTTGGCTTGTCAGACCCTGCTGCTCCTCAATCTCCAGGTACTTCTACTTGCTGTAGAAGGCACAGAGCAACTGGTTCATAACTTATGAAGTCTCTGATGTTTTTCTTGGTTAAAAGCCACAGCATATAACAACTGATGATGGGAAATAAAGTGGCTTTCTTCATACTTGAGGAATTATTTTTTGCCACAGAAGAAAGAACAATACTGTCCTTTCTGGAGGTCCAATTGCTTCTGATCAAACATCCACACCCACAAGGTGTTCAGCTGCCTGAGACCTAATCATGTAGTTTTTCGCAGAAGGCTTTTCTCATCAACATCTGATCACCATTCCCCAGACCAATCAGCAACATGTTACTAGCTGAATCTCCCTTCTGGCTCCAGCTCATCTGCAGTCCTTCCCCATCTCACAGCTTGAATAAGCAGTCCGGTATATAATATTTAGAATAGGTGTCAGGTAACTTTTTTTTTGATAGGAATGTGAAAAGTATTTCTGAACTTATATGTTAAAAAATGTCATTTTACCATTTCATAATGGGATTTTCAAGATCACAAAATGGAGTATAATGAAAAAAGACAGTCTTTACATCATGGTTTCAACACAGTAAGATTTTTCATTTATTGTTTGTTTTAGGAAAAAGCTTATAAATGTACAAAATAACAAATGTAAACGTATAAAAGTAATTGTTCACTGTCACATTCTGTTTGTGTGGAGTCCTTGCTCCAACTTATAGTATCTACTGAGTTTGTTTCTATTTATTCATGGGTCTGTAAGCATCAGTGGCAAGGCCAGAATTTATTAACCAGCCCTAACTGCCCTAAAGCAGGGAACAATGAGAGACCTTTTTGAATACAACTGAGGGTCTTGTTAGGCCCTATTAAAGGCCAATTAAGAGTCAAAGTATTCCAACAGTCAGGAACACTGCAAAGCTAGTATAGCAGTTTCTGGGCTGAATGTTATTTGGGAAGTGGGATCTTCGGTCACCTATAGTCTCCCATCTCCCCACTCCCCACTCCCCACTCCCCACTCTGACTCCACCTCCTGTCTCCATCCTCCACACTCCTGCCTCCAAGCATCAAAAAGAGGAGCAAGCTAGCCTTCACTTCGCTGACTTGTCCTCAGCCATTTATTGACCATAATGTAGCTTTCATTGGAGATGATCTCCTACCTCCAAAAGCTGCTAACCAATCATATGGCCTTTGCTGCAACAACAGGCAGTCCCTGACACCGAGGACCAATGAAGCTTGAGAGGGGATTACCTGGTAACCAATCATCACCCTTTCCCTTTTTCTAATGCAGTATGAATTATTGTTCACTTTGAAATGTGACATTCTTACATTTGTTCTGAAAACATCCACTATATGTTTCTTTTCTATAGCAATACCAATGGCAAACTAGTCTGATATTCCAATAAATATCTTGGAAAATTAATCCAAAATGTTCTTGTCGAGAGAGTGAGACACGGACTATCACTGGGGGTGGTTGAGGTGAATATTTTTATGTTTTTAAGGGGAAAGCATATGAGAGAGGGAAGGGAATAAAAGCCGATTAGTTAGATGACGAAGTATGCGGGAAAGGGAGCTTTGATTGGTATATAATCCCCAGGACAGGCTCTGAGCCTTCATCTGTGATCTGCTTTATTTCTTCTAGGTAGCTAGTTCTATTTGCCTTTTGGGGACTGCTTTACTGTTGTGTATCTTTCTGAGCGATGGAAGAAGATTCTGACCATTTATAATCTCTCAGTACAGATAAAGTCTATGAGATACACTCAGATTGTTGCTTCGAAATATGCATTAATGAGGGGACATAAAATACTTCAGAATCTTCTTTGAGCCTTACAACAATAATAAAAAAAACACAAATCCATGTATTATCCCTCTCTGGGTTCACTCTTGATAATTGCTCAGTGCTTCGAGACAGTACAAAGCAATGGACAGTTCACACAGACTCGTTTCTCTCATCTTTTGAACAGCTTCTCTCTCCATCTGAATTCCAATTTCATTCAGGATCTGTGCAGTTATTCCAAATGCAGCCTCTGACAAACCTCTAGTGTCCACTTCCAGAATCTGACCCACCTGGCTATCTCCCAGATTCTTGCTGATATTGGTGACCTTCAGAAACAAAGAAAAAAAGCAAACAAATGAAAGGATTGCACCTTTCCAGTTCTTTTTTCATTTGTTGCCAACATGTAGGCATTGCTGGCAAGGCCAGCTATAGTGTCCATCACTGATTAGTTGCAATGAGCTGCCACTTTGACCCACTGCAGTCCATGTGGTACCCGCAGAGCCATCTAGTTTCAACCCTTATAGATTTTGTAGTAATTTATTTGATACAACTGAGTTTCCTGCATTTCAAACTCAACTACCTTGCTGTGGGTCTACAGACACAGTCCAGCTAAGGACAGCAGAATAGATGGTTCATGATGGTGTTATGGGCACCATTACTGAGACTTACCCTTCATTGTGAGAGGTTTTGGGTACAGGAGCAGGGGATGTTTTGTTGCAGTTATACAGGGCCTTGGTGACACCACACCTAGAATATTGTGTGCAGTTTTGGTCTCCCTTTCTGAGGAAGGACGCTCTTGCTCTCGAGGGACTGCAGCGAAGGTTTACCAGGCTGATTCCAGGGATGGCGGGTCAGACGTATGAGGAGAGATTGACTAGGTTGGGATTGTTTTCACTGGAGTTCAGACGAATGAGGGGGGATCTCACAGAGAGTTATAAAATTCTAACAGGACTGGACAGGGTAGATGCAGGGAGGATGTTCCTGATGGTGGGTATGTCCAGAACCAGGGGTCACAGTCTGAGGATTCAGGGTAAATGATTTAGGATGGAGATGAGGAGACATTTCTTCACCCAAAGAGTGGTGAGCCTGTGGAATTCATTACCACAGGAAGTCGTTGATGCCAAAACATTGAATGTATTCAGGAGGCAACTAGAAATAGCACTTGGGGTGAATGGGATCAAAGGTTATGGGGAGAACAGGATTAGGCTACTGAGTTGGATGATCAGCCATGATCGTGATGAATGGTGGAGCAGGCTCGAAGGGCCGAATGGGCCCCACATTGTATGTTTCTATGTAATTTAGAATTACTAATTCAATTAGTTGGGGTTTGAATCTGTACGCTCAGAGCATGAACCATTCAAGCAAGGCAGTCCAGCGGAGACAGCACTGTAGATATGAAGGATGCAGCCATATGTCTTTATTGCGTTGAATGTAACCATAGCCAGATACCAAATGGCAGCTCGTATCTTGCTGCCAGCAATGGCTGCTGTAATTTCTTCCATTCAGTACTTCGGCATATCAGAACTTCACACTGCTTGTCTCAAAAGGTAGCTCTGCTGACAGAGACAGTACAGCACACATTCTCCCTATCTCTAAATCTTTTCTAAGTTGCTGCAATTAAGTTATCCAAGTATTGCTCCTCCTTATGAATTGTCTTTCATTTAATTCACTCCCAGGTTTTCATTATTCCCAAAATAGTTCACTGTATTATTCTTATTTCCCTTTGAATTCACCTCTAAAAATGTAGGTTCCAACTGGAATTTATTCATGATTTTTATTTATCTCAAGTTCATTAATTGTTTGAGTCTAATTTAGTGTGTGTTCTAGTATCAATTTTTCCAATATCCATCCATCCAGCCATCCATTCTAATCTGAAAAATTCATATTTCCCCTTTCAATTTACTCAGACGTATTAATTATTCAATGCTTTATTAATTCCCAAGAGTTCAATATTTCCAATTTACTCCATTTGGTGGTATGCCTTAGTTCAAATATAATTACTTGACACTTATCTTCCCATTTTCACACAGTCTCAGTTCACTTCTTACCAGGTCAAGTTGCTGAGGTAGAATCTGCATCTTCAAACTCTCAACTAACAACTGCAGTGTTGCTAATGGCAGATCTGAAGAACAGAAAAAGATATTTGCAAAGATCCGAAAGTACAACACCCTGAAACCCTGACACTTCCCCGTAGAATGTCTATAATTGTGATTTTGCATTTTAAGTTCTTCCTTACTAACTTTTAGAGGGGGTTTTGTCAAGAGCCTGAAGCAATGCCATGACTACCATCGAGCCATCCACAAGATGTGGTGCAGCACCTCATCATGACTTCTTCAACAGCACAGCTCTCTAACACCCAGAAAGGCAAAGGCAATAGATACATGCAAACACCAGCACCTGTAAGTCACCCTCCAAAATACAGATCATCCTGAGTTGGAAATATATTGTTGTTTCTTCACAAATGTGGAACTCTCTTCCTAACAGCTTAATGCCAACTGACTAAAGTGGTTCAAGCATCATTTCACCATCACTTTCTCAAGGGCAATTAGGGTCAACTAAAAAGTGTTGGCCCAGCCAGCAACACCCACATCCTAGGAACAAATTAAAAAATGATTCAGAACAAAAAAAAAGCAACCTTTATTCACTCATTGGACGTGGGCATTGTTGGCTGGGGCAGCATTCATCCCTAGTTATAGAGTCATAGAGATATACAGAACAGACACAGATCCTTCAGTCCAACTCGTCCATGCCGACTATATATCCTAAATTAATCTAGTCCCATTTGCCAACATTTGGCCCATATCCCTCTAAACCCTTCCTATTCATGTACCCATCCAGATGCCTTTTAAATGTTGTAATTGTACCAGCCTCCACCACTTCCTCTAGCTGTTCATTCCATACACGCACCACCCTCTGTGTAAAACAGTTGCCCCTTGGGTCCCTTTTAAATCTTTTGCCTTCTTGCCCTAAACGTACACCCTCTAGTTTTGGACTCCCCCACCCCAGGAAAAAGACAGTGGCTATTCACCCTATCTATCCCCTCATGATTTTGTAAACTTCTATAAGGTCACTCCTCAGCCTGCGATACACCAGGGAAAATTGCCCCAGCCTATTCAGCCTCTCCCTATAGCTCAAACCCTCCAACCCTGGCAACATCTTTGTAAATCTTTTCTGAACCCTTTCAACTTTCATAACATCCTTCCTACAGCAGGTGAGAAGGTGGTGGTGAGCTGCCTTCTTGAACTGCTGCAGTCCATGTGCAGTAGGTAGACCCACAATGTCATTAGGGAGGCAATTTCAGGATTTTGGCCCAGCGACAGTGAGGGAATGGCAATATATTTCCAAGTCAGGATGGTGAGTGACTTGGAAGGGAACTTGCAGATGGTGGTCTTCCCATATTTCTACTGCCCTTGTCCTTCAAGATGGTACTGGCTAGGGGATTTTACAGTGCTGTTTAAGGAGCTTTAGTGAATTTCTGCAAAATATTCTTGAAATTGGACCTTTCAAATTTCAAGACTTTAACCCTCAGATGGGCTGTTCCCTGTCCAGTTGGGTGGGATAGAGGTTTAAATTCATGCTCTAGGTGTGGGCGTCACTAGCAAGGCTGCCATTAATTTCCATACTGGAGTCCTGGGAGCACACCACACTGGGGCTGGTAATAGTTTCACACAACTAAGAGTCTCACTGTTGCTGCTGTTTAGAACATAGAACATAGAACATAGAACATTACAGCACAGTACAGGCCCTTCGGCCCTCGATGTTGCGCCGACCTGTGAAACCAATCTGAAGCCCATCTAACCTAAACTATTCCATTATCATCCATATGTTTATCCAATGACCATTTAAATGCCCTTAAAGTTGGCGAGTCGACTACTTTTGCAGGCAGATCATTCCACGCCCTTACTACTCTCTGAGTAAAGAACCTACCTCTGACATCTGTCCTATATCTATCACCCCTCAATTTAAAGCTATGTCCCCTCGTGCTAGCCATCACCATCCGAGGAAAAAGGCTCCCACTGTCCACCCTATCTAATCCTCTGATCATCTTGTATGTCTCTATTAAGTCACCCCTTAACCTTCTTCTCTCTAACGAAAACAGCCTCAAGTCCGTCAGCCTTTCCTCATAAGACCTTCCCTCCATACCAGGCAACATCCTGGTAAATCTCCTCTGCACCCTTTCCAATGCTTCCACATCCTTCCTATAATGCGGTGACCAGAACTGTACGCAATACTCCAAGTGCGGCCGCACCAGAGTTTTGTACAGCTGCAACATGACCTCATGGCTCCGAAACTCAATCCATCTCCCAATTAAACCTAACACACCTAACTGCCTTCTTAACAATGCTATCAACCTGGGTGGCAACTTTCAGTGATCTATGCACATGGACACCGAGATCTCTCTGCTCATCCACACTCCCAAGAATCTTACCATTAGCCCAGTACTCTGTATTCCTGTTACTCCTTCCAAAGTGAATCACCTCACACTTTTCCGCATTAAACTCCATTTGCCACCTCTCAGCCCAGCTCTGCAGCTTATCTATGTCCCTCTGCAACCTGCAACATCCTTCCGCACTATCCACAGCTCCACCGACTTTGGTGTCATCCGCAAATTTACTAACCCATCCTTCTACGCCCTCATCCAGGTCATTTATAAAAATGACAAACAGCAGTGGCCCCAAAACAGATCCTTGCGGTACACCACTAGTAACTGAACTCCAGGATGAACATTTCCCGTCAACCACCACCTTCTGTCTTCTTACAGCTAGCCAATTTCTGATCCAAACCACTAAATCACCCTCAATCCCATGCCTCTATATTTTCTGCAATAGCCTACCATGGGGAACCTTATCAAACGCTTTACTGAAATCCATATACACTACATCAACTGCTTTAACCTCATCCACCTGTTTGGTCACCTTCTCAAAGAACTCAATAAGGTTTGTGAGGCACGACCTACCCTTCACAAAACCGTGTTGACTATCTCTAATCAAATTATTCCTTTCTAGATGATTATAAATCCTATCTCTTATAATCCTTTCCAACACTTTAGCCACAACCAAAGTAAGGCTCACTGGTCTATAATTACCAGGGTTGTCTCTACTCTCCTTGAACAAGGGGACAACATTTGCTAGTCTCCAGTCTTCTGGCACTATTCCTGTAGACAATGATGACATAAAGATCAAAGCCAAAGGCTCTGCAATCTCCTCTCTAGCTTCCCAGAGAATCCTCGGATAAATCCCATCCGGCCCAGGGGACTTATCTATTTTCACACCTTCCAGAATTGCTAACACCTCCTCCTTATGAACCTCAATCCCGTCTAGTCTAATAGCCTGTATCTCAGTATTCTCCTCGACAACATTGTCTTTTTCCTGTATGAATACTGACGAAAAATATTCATTTAGCGCCTCTCCTATCTCTTCAGACTCCACGCACAAATTCCCACTACTGTCCTTGACTGGCCCTAATCTTACTCTGGTCATTCTTTTATTCCTGACATACCTATAGAAAGCTTTAGGGTTTTCCTTGATCCTACCTGCTAAAGACTTCTCATGTCCCCTCCTGGCTCTTCTTAGCTCTCTCTTTAGGTCCTTCCTGGCTGACTTGTAACTCTCAAGCACCCTAACTGAGCCTTCACGCTTCATCTCTACATAAGCCTCCTTCTTCCTCTTGACAAGAGATTCAACTTCTTTAGTAAACCATGGTTCCCTCGCTCGACCACTTCCTCCCTGCCTGACAGGTACATACTTCTCAAGGACACGCAGTAGCTGTTCCTCGAACAAGCTCCACATTTCAATTGTGCCCAGCCCCTGCAGTTTCCTTCTCCATCCTATGCATCCTAAATCTTGCCTAATTGCCTCATAATTGCCTTTTCCCCAGCTATAACTCTTGCCCTGCAGTATATACCTATCCCTTTCCATCGCTAAAGTAAACGTAACCGAATTGTGGTCACTATCACCAAAGTGCTCACCTACCTCCAAATCTAACACCTGGCCTGGTTCATTACCCAGTACCAAATCCAATGTGGCCTCGCCTCTTGTTGGCCTATCTACATACTGTGTCAGGAAACCCTCCTGCACACATTGGACAAAAACTGACCCATCTAAAGTACTCGAACTATAGCATTTCCAGTCAATATTTGGAAAGTTAAAGTCCCCCATAACAACTACCCTGTTACTTTCGCTCCTATCCAGAAGCATCTTTGCAATCCTTTCCTCTACATCTCTGGAACTTTTCGGAGGCCTATAGAAAACTGCAATTAGTCCTGCCAGAGCATCTACTGTCATTGTCCCTCACCCTCGTCTGTCTTGTCCCAACTTTATCCACCGCAGCTCATCCCCGGCTATGTCACCTCCAGCAGCTAACCCCAAGTCCTCCTACTAGACCACTCCAGCAGGAATCTGACTGGAGTCAAATCACCAAAGATAACAACGGTCAAATTATCTCCCCAAAGAGCGGCTGTTTGAACTAGTTGGATTTTACATCAAGCATAGAATCCCCTACAGTGTGGAAGCAGGCCATTCAGCCCACAGAGTATACACTGACCCTCCAAAGAGCATCACACCCACTATACCCCAACCCTGCATTTCCCATGGCCAATCCACCTAACATGCACACTTTTGGACTGTGGGTGGAAACTGGAGCACAGGAGGAAACCCAGACATGGGGAGAATGTCTGTGTAGAGTTTGCACATTCACCCAACACTGGAATCGAACCTGGGTCCCTGGCACTGTGAGGCAGCAATGCTAACCACTGAGCCACCACACCACCCTAATCAATGGCACCTCCTAATTTTATTTTTCAAAGTCAATCTGCCAGCTAGGATGGAAATCAAATTCCTGTTCTCTGGAGTATTCGACCAAGCCTCCAGTTCAATAACAAAACCATTACAGTCCAACTTGTCTTTTTAAGAACACCATGTCCATTTGTATCATTCCAAAATAACTCAATGTAAGAAGGGTTTAACATAGGTTTGTTGGGTCCTTACCTTCCAATGCTGTAACGAGAGAGCAGACTGCAATTAGCAGCTTGTTCTCACCCGCATTCTGTAGCTGACCCTCACTCCAGATGCCAAGCAGCTTCTCTGCACATTCTTTTCCTTTATCATCCAATTTATTCAAGTCTGAGGGCTTATATTTGATTCCAGCACAAGCATCACAGAGCTGGGAAACAAAAGAGTGTAAGTGAGAGAACATGACCAGCGTCCCCAACTTCTTGCTAATAAAATGATGTTTTGAATGTAGGTAAACATCCCAGGGGGATTCACAGAAATCTAACCAAACAAAAATTGAAAAAAAACCTGAGACAATAGCAGAAACTAAAAGCTTGGCCAAAAAGAGATGCATTGCAAGGGAAGTTGTCCTCGACTTAAATATGAGCTTTAAAGAAACCATTGTTTCTTGGAAAACAGATTAAGAGGAAAGTCAGTAGATGAACAGTGGCAGACATGAAGCAGACAATTCTTAAAGCTCAGTAACAATTTATTCCAGACACAAAGGACTCAATGAGAAAGGGGAGTCACTCATTGTTAATAAAAGCAATCAAGGATAGAATCCAATCAAAAATTCAGGCTTACAAAATGATGAAAAATAACGGTGAGCCAGAGGATTGGGATTTGTTTAGAAATCAGATGCAGATGACTTAAAAGCTAATATAAAGGGAGAAAATGATTATGAAAGTATTTGGCAAGAAATATAAAAACATTTTGGCAAGAAATATAAAAACAAAGAGTAAGAGCTTTGATGTACATACAAGAAAGAAAGAGAGTAGTTAATGTGCATGTGGGACCCTTGGTGGATGTGACTGGGGAATTGATAACAGCGAATGGCAGATATTTTAAACCAATATTTTGTCTTGGTTTTCACAGAATGATAGTATAAACATCCCAACGATATCAGATAAGCAAGGTGCTAAGGGGAGAAAAGATCTTGTAGTGGTCTCTATTACAAGGAACAAAGTATTTGATAAATTCATGGGACTAACTGCAGATAAGTCACCAGGACCTGACAACTTTCATTCAAGGTGGAGGCATTGGTCAAAATATTCCAGCCCCCATGACTTCTGGGAGAATTCCAGATCATAAAACTGCTCATATGATACCCCTGTTCAAGAGGACAGCGACAGAGAGACAGACAGACAGAAAGCAAGAAACCATAGGTCAGTTAGCCTAACATCTGTCATTGAGAAAACGTTAGGGAGGGAATCTTAAACTAGGTCACGTTATTACAGAATAAGGGGAAAACAGTTGTAAAGAAATTTCTCTCAAAGGATAGTGAATGTCTAGAAGTCTCTACCCCTGAAAGTTGCGGAGGCTAGATCAGCTAAAGCATTTAAAGAAGAAGTCAGTAAATCTTTAAAATATTGGGCAATTGAAGGCTTTGAGGAGTTGACACGAAAGAGGAGTTGAGGCCTGGACAGATCAGCCACACTCTTATAGAAGTGAGGAGTAGGCTTGAATGGCCCAATGATCTTACTTATGCTCTTCCGAAATACTCATATGAGTAGAGGTGGGGTAGAGATTTATAGGAGATAATGCAGAGATTGAACGTTTGGAGACCTTAATAGCAGGGCAAAGATCAAAGTTGGAAGAATGCTGAGATCTCCACAGGTTGCAGGGCCGTAGGAGTTAGGACAGTGAGGCTACAAAGGGACAAAGGATCAGAATTTTAAATAAAAGATTTTGGGGAACCTGGTGCTGTTGTAGGTCAATGAACAATGAGTAGGAGGATCCTGGAGCAGGATACAGGCAGCAGAGTTTTGGATGACTTCAGATTTATGGATGGTGGAAGATGAGAGACCATCTTGAAGATGAGTGTTCCAACAACAGACAAGTAATCCACTAATCAGAAACAAAAACAGAAATTGCCAGAGAAACTCAACATGTTTGGCAGCATCTGTGGGAAGAAAGCAGAGTTAACATTTTTAGTCCAGTGACTCTTCATCAGAACTGTTAGTAGCTAGGAAAGTCTGATTGAGGCGGTTGGGGGTGAAGGATGGAATCAGTTTGTATAGTTATTGAACTTGATGTTGAGTCTTAGAGGCTGCAGGGTTCCCAAGCAGCAAATGAGATGTTGTTCTTTGAGTTTGTGCTGAAGCTTGCTGGAATGCTACTGCAGGCCTGTGACAGAAATGTAGGTGTGGGAACACAGTGGTGTGTTGAAGCAGCAGTTAACTGGAAGCTTGGGGTTATTTTTGCAGACAGAGTGTAGGTGCTTTGCAATGCTGTCACCCAGCATGCATTTCATCTCCTCGGTGTAGAGGAGACCACATTGGGAACCCTGCAGCCTCTCGGACTCAATATCGAGTTCAATAACTTTAGAGCCTGATTCCACCCTTCCATTTTTTTTACCCACCCCCACACCTGGTCTGCAATGACATGGGTTGCTTTTAGCACAGTGACTCATTCCTATGTACTTCTAGGCCCATTATTACATTATATGGGTTGCATTCAATACAGCTCACCCATTTTCTCACTCTTCGCTCCTATTATCTCTTATTCAACTTTTCTTCTGTCTTGGCCTGCTATCCATCATCTCCTTGGCTACCCACCCCCTTTCATGTCTCTCTCTCTCCCTCTCTGCTGTGTCTTCACAATCTGCTCACCTCTTCCCATCCCCGCTTAAGACACGCTTCAGTATAAATACTAGCTTTTCCTAGCTACCAGCAGTTCTGATGAAGAGTTGTCGGACTTGAAATGTTCACTCCGCTGCCAGACCTGTTGAGTTTCTCCAGCAATTTCTGTTTTTGTTTCAGATCTCCAGATCTGCAGTTCTTTGTTTTATTCTTTGTGTTGTAATCCAATAATCAGTACTGGCTTCTGGTTTGGATTCTACTTTTGGATCCTATGTAAATATTGCATCTGCTAACCATGTATAAGAGTTACAACAGTATGTCTCTGGTAGGTTTCTGCCCAAATCCTGACATTTAAACTATTATAGACTTAGTAAGGACTGCCGATGCTGGAGTCAGAGATAACACAGTGTGGAGCTGGATGAACACAGCAGGCCAGGCAGCATCAGAGGAGCAGGAAAGTTGACATTCCGGGTCAGGACCTAACTATTATATGTGCTCTACTGTAAGTGCGTATGTGTCCCTCTAGTACAGACTGGTGCTGCTCTCTGCTGATGTCACTGGTACCTCATCATACTGTTACAACCAGCTGCCAGGCAACGTTCCCCAATTTGTTACAATTCCAGATGGGATACCCCAAACTGTTAAGCTCCCGGGTAAGGAGAAGAGAACTGGTTTCTCCTGATTCTTCACCCACTCTTTCTTTAAACAAAGTACGTGCTGTCATTAAAGTTTGAAATGTCTAAAGGTGATCCAGGACAATGGTCGGCAGCCATTACAATAAACATTGCATCTCCTTACACTTTCTCACATCAAAAAGAATCTGTGAAATTATCCGGCTTTCTCAATTAAAAATTAGGGGATTGATGATTTTTGCTTAATCTGTTCCCTAATCCGGACACACATGGGAAATTGCAGCAGCAATCGAGATAAACAATGCAACGTTTGGCAACCTTTCCATTTAATATTTCCATCAAACTCTCATCTTACCATCTCACTGAGAATTGAGTGAAGTTCCGGGTCTTCAATAATCTGGCATATCTGGTCCAGGAGTTGACGTTTCAAAACATTTTCTAGACACTTAAATTCATTGGAGATTTCAAGCCCTTCCTGTCCTTTCACTGAAAGAAATAGAATTGGTGTTAGAAGCAGTAAGATTCTGGAGAAGAAGCATGAATGTTGTGTGGATTGTTTTTACACATTGGCACAGTGGTGTTGGTGTTAACCACATGATCCATTCGACAATAATGACTGTAAAATTTTCAGTGAGGAGGACTTCAAAAGCAAGTGACCATTTTTTTGGACAATCAGCTTTTTTTCTATTCATTTGTGGGATGTGGGTGTCGCTGGCTGGCCAGCATTTCTTGCCCATCCCTAGTAGCCCCTGAGAAGGTGGTGGTGAGCTGCCTTCTTGAACAACTGCATTCCTCCTGCTGTGGGTTGAACCACAATGCTATGAGGGAGGGAATTCCAGGATTTTTACCCAGTGACAGTGAAGGAATGGCGATATATTTCCAAGTCAGGATGGTGAGTGCCTTGGAAGGGAGCTTGGAGGTGGTGATGTTCCCATGTATCTGCTGCCCTTGTCTTTCCACATGAAAGTGGTCGTGGGTTTGGAAGGTACTGTCTGAGGATCTTTGGTGAATTTCTGCAGTGCATCTTGTAGATAGTACGCACTCTGCTACTAAGCATCAGTGGTGGAGGGAGTGGATGTTTGTGAATATTGTGCCAATCAAGCAGGCTGCTTTGTCCTGGATGGTGTCCAGCTTCTTGAGTGTTGTTGGGGCTGCACTCATTCAGGCAAGCAGGGAGTATTCCATTACACTCCTGACTTGTGCCTTGTAGATGATGGACAGACATTGAGGAGTCAGGAGGTGAGTTACTCGCTGCAGTATTCCTAGCCTCTGACCAGCTCTTGTAGCCACTGTGTTTATGTGGTGAGTCCGGTTGAGTTTCTGGTCAATGATAACCCCTAGGATGTTGATAGTGGGGGATTCAGTGATGGTAACACCATTGAATGTCAAGAGGTGGTGGTTAGATTGTCTCTTATTGGTGATAGTCATAGCCTGGCATTTGTGTGACGCAAAAGTCACTTGCCATTTGTCAGCCCAAGCCTGGATATTGTCCAAATTTTGTTGCATTTGAACACTGACTGCTTCAGTATCTGAGGAGTGCTGAACATTGTGCAACCATTGATGAATATCCCCACTCTGACCTTGTGATGGAGGGAAGGTCATTGATGAAGCAGCTGAAGATGTTTGGGCCAAGGAGACTACCCTGAGGAGCTGATGAATTACTAGCCTCACAGGCAGAAAATAGTGATGCAATGAGACAAACACATACATGCACAGATACACACCCACACAGGAACACTTACAGGCATACACACATGCATACGCACAGACACACACACAGACACGCATGGCAAATGCGCACACACATGCACAGGTATGAATGCATACACACAGGTGCACTAACAGGCATACACTCACGCATACATGCAGGAATACACAGACCCACACACACATGCACAGGTATGAATGCATACACACAGGTGCACTAACTGACATACACTCACACATACACAGACTCACACATACATGCATAGGCACACACACACAGGTACAGACATAAGTACATGCATACAAAGACACACACAGTGTACACTCAGAAATACACAGACACACACACATACACAGACACATGCATACATAGATATACATATACATACCTATGCAAATGCATAAACACATGCACAGACACACACACACAGGAGCATACACACAGACGCACACACACAGGCGTACACAGACGCACACACACAAGCGTACATACACAGACACACACACAGACATACATACACATACACAAATGCACAGCCACATGCACACAAGCCACAAAGACACTTTTCAATAGGGACACTAAGGAAGTACTCGGAGCAAGAACTCTGATTGATTCTTTGCATTTCCTCATTGACATCCCCCACGTGCCACCCATTCCATTAAATAAATTATTCACAGGGTTCCTGAGTGAAAACAATTGCAGTTTTACTGCTAGTGATGAGGAGATTTGATCGAGGTCTTCAATGTTGTGAGGGATTTTTCTGGAGTGAACAAGGGGAAATTGGCCGGAAGATTAATAGCCAGAGAACATAGGTTTAAGATAATCGGCAAAAGGACCAGAGGGGAGTTGAGGAGATGTTTTGAAAAATACAACGAGTTTCATGATCTAGAATGCACTGCCTGAATCAATAGAAACTTTCACTAGGGAATTGGATGTGTATTTCAAAGAGAGTATTTGCTGGGCAATGGAGAAAGAATAGGATGGGAGGAGTGTAACTAATTGCATAGATCTTTCAACGGTAGGATGGAGCGAATGGTGTCCTCCTGTGATGTAAGATTCTATGAAACAGTCACTGAAGATTGGGAGCAATCCCCATGGGCCACTCACATGGTGGGGAGAGAAATCTCGAGTTAACTCCCTGTATAATCAATCACAAAGTCCTGAATCATAGAAGAATCATAGAATCCCTACAATGTGGATGTGGGCCATTCGTCCCAGCAAGTCCACACGAGTCCTCTGAAGAACATCCCACCCAGACCCACACCCCCTATCCTATCCATGTAACCACACATTTCTCATGGCTAATCCGCCTAGCCTGCACATCTTTGGAAGAAACCGGAGCACCTGGAGGAAACCCACATAGACACGGGGAGAGTGTACAAACTCCACAGTCACCCGAGGCTGGAATCGAACCTGGTTCCCTGGTGCTGTGAGGCAGCAGTGCTAACCACTGAGCCACTGTGCTGCCCCATGACTCCCTCTGACGAAGGAGCAGCAATTTGAAAGCCGTTGGACTATAACCTGGTGGTGTGTGACTTCTGACTTTGGTTATACCACAAACAGAAACTGTAAGAGAGGGACTGGAGAAAACGTTTGGAGTGGCCACTGTCCTGGAGGAAGGCTGTAGCTTAAAAAAATGAGCATGAGTTAAGCTGGGCGAGCTGAGAAGTGGCCTACAGCTGGGTCCTGCCTATTTCCAAACTAGAGAGCCTAGTGGAGATGTAATCAAGGTCTTTAAAATTACAAATGGATTGCAGAGAGGGTGAGGAGTCCACAAAGGAAAACGTGCATCTTTCCCCATTAGAGAGACAGAATAACTTTCAGGTAACCACTCCACCAGCATGAGGTAAGCTGAAAATGTAGGAGGCTCCAGCAACCATCCCAGCCAGGATGGGGATTGAAACTGTGCAGTCAGCTTTATTCTACCTCACCTTCCTGTCAGCTGGATGAGGTAATGTGAAATAAATGTGCTTATTTGTGCGAAAATCAAAAAACTAAATGACATAAATAATTACAAATAAAGAAAAGAGAGATTTTTCATTCTGAATGGTTAAAATGTTGAACTTATTCCACAGGAGGTGTTTGAGGCAAAAAGCTGGATGTTTTCTTCAAGAAATTAGCTAAGCACATAAGGAAAACGGGAATAGAAAGAAACGTTGAAATGCTCAGGCAGGTGAAATGAAAGGCAACTCAGGTGGAATATAACTGATGTGTTGGGCCTAATGGCCTGTTTCTAATGGAGGTATACAAAATGCTAAAAGGGATTGACAAGATAGACATAGAGAGGATGTTTCCCCTTGTGGGGCTATCTAGAATGAGAGGTCACAGTTTTGGGATAAGGAGTGGCAGATTTAAAACAGAAATAAGGAGGAACTGCGTCTGTCAAAGGGTCATGAATCTGTGGAATTCACTTCTCCAGAGTGTGGTGGGTGCTGGGACATTCAGTAAATTTAAAGAGAAGATAAATAGATTTTTAATTAGTAATGTGATGAGAGGTTATGGAGAGTGGGCAGAAGAGTGGAGTTAAGGCCAAGGTGAGATCAGCCATGCTTGTAATAAACAACAGAGCAGGCTCGAGGGGCTGAATGGCCTATTCCTACTCCTATGTTCTTATGCTATGTTCTTAATCTATGAAATAATGCCACAGAACCTCAGAAGCCCACTTGAGAATGCATGCAGGGATTCAATTTAGTTCTCACCTGAAAGATGAGTGCCTCTGATAGTGCAGCACTCTTCAAGTGATACACTGCACTGTCAGCCTCAATTATAGGTCAAGGCTCTGAGCTGGTACATAGCCACACGAGCTACCCACTCCAGTGGCACAAGAGCCAATTCCAAGCCACAGCTGTAGCTAGAAACATCTCAAATGGAATGGGAGGTGCCAGATATGAATGTAAACCTGAGACTTAGGATCTCAAATGTGTTTTTGGGAGATAAGGAATCATTGGGATAATGTTGTAAGAGACTAAATTTAGAGAGAATCCAAGCCTTAAAGATTTGGATTAGTTAAAGGGTAAAGGCGGACAACAGCAGACAGAGCTTTTAAGAAGTTGGTTCACAAGTCAATGAAGTTAAGAACTAAAGTTTCAGCAGTTAATCAGACAATATTGTGGTAGTGGATGAAGAGGACTTTGGTGACAGACTATGCAGAGAACAATGACCCTAGGCTGGTGGTCAGAGAAAATAGCAAGACAGCACCCTGTTAGGCTTACTTTAAACAAACTACAAAGGAGCTGGATGGAGGCACATCAGAGTACTCAGGTAGTGGGATGAGCCAAATGGAATGGCTTCATTACTGTCAATGTTGAGCTGCAGGTCTTGTCAGATATACCAGCAGTGCCAGTGAGGCTCAGTTGAGACCCATCATGACACATTGGATTTGATCTTGTGTTTAAAAAGTATTTTGAGAAAAAAAAGAAAAAGCTTGCATTTCTAAAGCATCTTACACGTCTCAAGGTGTACCAAAACCCCTTTACAAGCAATGGAGTATTTTTAAAGTGCAGCCACTATTGCAATGCCAACAGGCCAACTTGCACTCAGCAAGTCCCTACAAACAGCAATGTGGTAAATGTTAGACATGTTCCTTAGTCTTTAAGAACAATGCCTTTAAGGACTCCAAGTGCAGAGTACATATATAAGACTACAACTTTGCCTACTAATCAGTCTGACAGGCTGGGCACTGTAACCAGATGGTCCACGGTAAAGATTGCTTCAGTTTGAAAAAGGGGTAAAGTGTAAATCCACCGCTTTGCTTCAAGTTAGGGAGAAATTAAGAAGGATGTTGCTCTCAGGTTTTAACACTGACAAGATTTATAAGCCTTGAAGATTGTCTGAAACAAGATTGCTCCATTGAATAAGTTTAATACGTAAAACAACAGTTTCCTTTTCCAGGAAGAAAAGCAATTAAAAGGCAATTGCAGGAAAAAATCTACCCAATCAGTAGTCAGGAAGGCAAGTTCAAAGGCATATTGTCAGGATTTGGGGTTTGAGTGAAGATCTGTAGCTCAGGTGCTGGTTGGTAGATATTGTAAAGGCTTCACAGGAGGCTCCACAGCAGTGAGGATGTCACCTAGTAAGGGGATGAAACGTCTGCTATCAAACTTCCCAGCTCGGCCAACATACCAACATCTACATATTGTCAGGATGTCCACAACATTCCCTAGTTTACATTGGAGCACAGTGGAGCGTCTAATAGATTTTAAAATGTTCAAACAGCATGCAGAACTATGCTTGCTAGGCTCAGACGTGTCTGATGCAGAAAAGCAAGGCATTATGATTTGCTTAGCAATTGGGAATGAAGATCTACACAGGCTTAGTAGTCAGGAAGAACAGCTAAAGAGCTGAAAGAACCCCAAAAGGTATGGGTCACATTGAAAGACCGTTTAGAGTCAGATTAAAATTTGAAGCTCATCAACCAGAATACATGTCATTGAGGAAGAAGCCCACATAGTTGAAAGATCATTTCATGAGCAAATGCAGAGAAAAGGGCTTATTATGTCATTTTTCAGATGAGGAGCTGGCAAACAGAATTGTTGCATTGATAATCACAACCACTCCCATGGATGCTTTTCAGAAATACTCGTTTGATAAACCAAAGCCTTGTAGCATCGATGAGATATCAAAGAATGGATGTAAATATAAAATGATTCTCACAGGTCGATGAAGCTTACAAGTCCTAAGTACAAACTCAATGATTGACACAATTACTAGAACACCTAAATAAAAAGCCATGAACTGATCCAAACATTATGCACAAGCAGTACACTGGAACTACAATACAGACCATCTGGTATCCTGTCTGAGGTGCAGGCAAGCATTGATTGACAAACCACAGTGTGACAATGAACAATGAGCGATGAACACTTATTTTGTACCTTCAATTTCGTGGGAAACTTCAATGTTCTCAAACCTTCTGAACTGTTTGCAAAAATTTGAATCATTTGTCCTTAGAAAACTGGTGACAATATGAGCTAATATTGACATAAATGCCAATATGCTAACGCTGCAGTTTAAAAAAGACCATGTTTCCACAAGCATAAAATGCTACAACAAAATATATCAATGTAAAACTAACAGCATACATGGATACACATGCACAGGGTCAATAGTGCTGGAGTGTATGTACAATCAAGTTAATCTGCCTGGCATTGCAGATTGTTACATTGTAGCCACTGTTTCATGGCAATTGGAGTATACCTCACGCTAGCCACAATCCATGGAATGAGTCAGGTATCAGATACACGTCAGAAACTGTAGCAGAATGTTCAAGAAAATTGCTGAATTGAACAGGAAAGAATAATGGAACTCCTCACTTTCTTGTGAATTAGTGAGGCCAGTTCTCTGCTGAAAAGAGAAGATTGAAAGTTTAGGAGGAAAATGCTGAACACTGGCTCCAGATGAATCCAAACTTGAGAACACTATCTTAGAGATGAGGGATATCTCTGCTCTCTTAGCCTCACAAAAATGAACAAAGAGCAAGAAGGAAGCAGACTGGGTATCAATTTGATGAAAAGATTTCCACAATGAAGCAGCTCATTTGTCAGACAGATGAGGTTACATACAAACATAGAAAGATAGAAAATAGGTGCAGCAGTAGGCCATTTGAGCCTGCACCACCATTCAATATGTTCATGGCTGATCATGCAATTTCAGTATCCCATTCCCACTTTCTCTCCATAATCCTTGAAGCCTTTAGCTGCAAGGGCCATGTCCAGCTCCCTCTTGAATATATTTAATAAACTGGCCCCAATAGTTTTCTGTGGGAAAGAATTCCACAGGTTCACAACTCTCCGAGTGAAAAAATTCTTCCTTATCTCCATCCTGAATGGCTTACCCCTTATTCTTAGACTGTGACCCCTGTTCAAAACGATCAGCCACAAAAGCATCAGCCTGAGTCCAAAGCAATGTCAGAGAAAATGACAGATCTTCAAGAAAAGGCAGAAGCGCAAAGCACATAGAGCAAGGATTTGCAAACCACTCACAGGGGCATGGGAAGATAGGAGCAGGAGTAGGCCATTCAGCCCCTCAAGCCTGTTCCACCATTCAATGAGATAATGGCTGATCAGTGGCCTAACTCAGAAGACAGTCATTTCAGAAATAAATGCTAGCAATAGTGCTTGAGTCAGAAAACCCAAGCAGAACATAGACAAAACCAAACACATGCAAACGGAAATTGTCCAGGCTTCAAAGAAAACAAAATAGAAAAAAAAGTCTTGACAAATAAAAATGAACAGACGGTACCACAGTGTGGAAATCAACAGCACCCCTGGACAAAACCCTTCATCACGTGATCTGGACATATCAGTAAATTACTCATGTTTGTAGAGACTCACAGGCTTACTTGTTACTGTAAATAGTTAAACGTTCCTTTGGGAAAGCAGGGGGCTGTTGTATATGTTTCCTTCAAGATATTTCAACTGTAAGGACTCCAGGTGCTGTGTGTATGAAGGCTACAACCCCACCTAGCAGTCAGTCTCGTTGCAAGTGTAGGCAATGCACATTGAAACCAGTTGCTCTGCTTTAATTCTTATTTTACAATTTATAATATACTTTACTGAGTTAAGGAAACAAATCCACCCAGAGCTCATCAATCCTGGATGAGTGACTGATTCTTCAGCCGCTAGCATTAACATGACAATAATTATCTGGCGTTTTCTTTAAAGTGAAGTTGATTGCAGGGTAAATATTGGCAAGGACACTGGGGATAACTCCCCAGTTAGGTTTTGAAACAGATCTGTGGGATTTTTTATGCGAACTTGAGAGGGTCTTGGTTTAACATCTTATCCAAAAGACAGCACCTTGAGCGGTGCAGACTCTCTCAACACTGCACTGGAGAGTCAACCTAGAATTTGGTCTCAAGTCATGGAGTGGATCTGTAAAGTCACAAGCCCCTGACTCAGAGCGAAGTGGGCTACCAACTGAACCACAAGCCAATGGGTTCCAGCCTGAGAACCCTGCCTCACCTCCTCACTCTTCAAAGTGTGTCCAACATCAAGAAGACACAAGTCAGGAGTGTGATGGAATAGTCTCCACTTGTCTGGATGACTGCAGCTACAACAACACTTCAAGATGCTCAGTAGTATTCAGAACAAAGCAGACCACTTGAGCATCACTCGATTTAATACCTTCAACATTGACTCCCCACATTACCGATGCACAGTAGCAGTAGTGTATACCACCTAAAAGATGCAGTGCGACAACTCACCAAGGCTCCTTAAACAATACTTTACCGATCAGTGAGTTCCAACACTTTGAAGTACAAGGTACATGCAGGTATATGGGAATACCAACAGTCCCCCTTAAAGCCACCCACAATGGATTCACTGTTGTTGGGTCAAAATCCTTGAACTCCTTTAAAAATAGAACTGTGGGCGTCCCTACACCTAGTTCGCTACTACATTTTTCAGGGCAATTAAGGACAAGCAATAAATGCTGAGCCAATGATCCCCACAATCCCTGTTGAATTAAAAAACAAAACTTGCTTTTCTGGATGGTGGAATTGATGCCATATGCCTCAATTTAAGCGTTGTTACTTTATTCCTCATTGTGTCATAGCTTAATTGTTCAATTATTCTTCTATTTCTTTCAGAACCTAACCTTTTAGTAATTTTGTACTGACTAGATCAGTAATCTTACCATGAAGACTGTCAGCACGTAACCAAGACATCAATTGATTCTTTTCTTTTGGCACTGAGAGGCCTGAAAAGGAATTGGAAAAAGAGCCATGAGTTAAGCAAACGCTGGGAGCAGTATCAGAGCTGCTAGGAACAAACATGAATGTTCTTCTGTTCTGCGAACACAAAAGCATTTACTCAATGGATATTTGCCGATCATTGAAAAGCTTAGATGTGTGATTTAGTGACTGAAGTTCTTCCATATCAAAGATAATGCAGAAGGTAAAGAAATGAGGAACCTTTACAGTGGGAAATGAACTCATGCAGATCCAATAGTTTCTAGATTCAATCCTTTGGCTCACACTGTGTTAGCTCCTGATGTCTGGAGGAAATGTAGGGGCACTACAATTGGTTCTGTACTAGGGAGATAAAACAAAACCAGACCTTGCTCCTTCTTCTGATTATAGAGTCATAGAGTTGTACAACACAGAAACAGACTCTTTGGTCCAATTCGTCGATGCCAACCAGATATCCTAAATTAATCTTGGTCCCATTTGCCAGCATTTGGCCCATATGCCTCTAAATCCTACCTATTCATACATCCAGCCAAATGTATTTCAAAGTTGTAATTGCGCCATCCTCCAGCTCTTCCTCTGGCATCTCATTTCGTACATGCACCACCCTCTGTGGAAAAAGTTGCCCCTTGGGTCCCTTTTAAATCTTTCCCCTTTCACCTCTCATATGCCCTCTAGTTTTGGACTCCCCTACCCTGGGGAAAAAGGCCTTGGCTGTTCACCCTATTCATGTCGCTCACAATTTTATAAACCCCTATAAGGTCACCCCTCAGCCTCCGACATGCCAGGGAAAATAGTCCTGGCCTATTCAGCCTCTCCCTGTAGCTCAACCCCTCCAACCCTGGCAACATCCTTGTAAATCTTTTCTGAACCCTTTCAAGTTTCATAACATCCTTCCTATAGCAGGGAGACCAGAAATGAATGCAGTATTCTAAAAGTCACCTGAACAATGTCCTGCACAGCCACAATATGACATCCCAACTCTTATACTCAATGCACTGACCAATGAAGCCAAATGCCTTCTTCATCATCCTGTCCACCCGTGACTCCACTTTTAAGAAACTATGCATCTGCATCCCAAGGTCTCTTTATTTGGCAACACTCTCCAGGGCCCCATCATTAACTGTCTAAGTCCTGCCCTGGTTTTCCTGACCAAAATGCAGCACCTCACATTTATCTAAATTAAACTCCATCGACCATCCTCAGCCCATTGGCCCATCTAATCAAGGTCTCGTTGTATTCTGAGATAATCTTCTTCGCTGTCCACTACACCATCAATTTTGATGTCATTTGCAAACTTACTAACCATACCTCCTATATTCACATCTGAATCATTTATGTAAATGACATAAAGCAGTGGACCCAGCACCGATCTTTGTGGCACACTGTCAGTTATAGGCCTCGAGTCTGAGAAACAACCTTCTACCACCACCCTCAGTCTCCTACCTTTGAGCCAATTTTGTATCCAATTGGCTAGCTCTGCCTGGATCCCACATGATGTAACCTTGCTAAGCAGCCTACCATGTGGACACCTTGTCAAACACCTTGCCAAAGTCCATGTAGAGGACATCCACTGTTCTTTCTTCATCAATCTTTTTTGTCACCTCTTCAAAAAATTCAATCAAGATAATGAGACATGATTTCCCAAACACAAAACCATGTTGACATCCCCTAATCAGTCCTTGCCTTTCCAAATACATGTAAATCCTGTCCCTCAGCATCCTCTCCAACAATTTACCCACCACCAACGTAAGGCTCAACGATCTATATTCCCTGCCTTTCCTTACAGCCTTTCTTAAATAATGGCACCACATTAGCCACCTCCAGACTTCTAGCACCTCACTGTGGCTGTCGATGATACAAATATATAAGCAAGGGGCCCAGCAATCTCTTCCCTGGCCTGAAAGTTCCCTCCAACAAAGTTCTGGGACACACCGAATTAAGTTCCACGAATTTATTTACCTTAATGCATTTTAAGACCTCCAGCACCTCCTGTTCTGTAATATGGACACTTTTCAAGATATCACTATTTATTTCCTTAAGTTCCCTAACTTCCATGTCCTTCTACACAGCAAATACTGATACAAAATATTTGTTCAGTATCTCTCCCATCTCCTGTGGTTCCATACATAGACAGCTAAGTTGATCTTTAAGGGGCACAATTCTTTCCCTAGTTACTCTTTTTCCCTTAATGTATTTGTAGAATCTCTTTGGATTTACTTAATCCTATTTAGCAAAGCTATCTCATGTCTCCTTTTTGCCCTTCTGATTTCCCTCTTGAGTATATTCCTCTAGGGACTGACTTGATCCCAGCTGTCTATACCTGACATAAGCCTCCTTCTTTTTCTTGACCAGCCTCAATTTCTGCAGTCATCCAGCATTTCCTACACCTACCAGTCTTTCCCTTCACACTAACAGGAATATACTGCCTCTGAGCTCTCGTCATCTCATTTTTGAAGTCCTGCCACTTTCTGACTGTCCCTTTACCAGCAAATAGCCTCTCCCAATCAACTTTTGAAAGTTCTTGCCCAATAGCATCAAAATTGACCTTATTCCAATTTAGAACTTTAAGTTTTAGATCAGGTCTATCGTTTTCCATAATCATCTTAAAGCCAATAGAATTATGATCTCTGGTCCCAACGTGCTCCACCACTGACACCTTAGGTACTTGCCCTGCCTTATTTCCCAAAAGAAATTCAAGTTTTGCTCCTTCTCCTGTAGGTTCATCCACATACTGAGTAAGAACATTTTCTTTAACACACTTAACAAATTTCTCTCCATCCAAGCCCTTAACAATTTGGCAGTCCCAGTCTATGTTTGGAAAGTTAAAATCCCCTACCATTACAACCCTATTATTCTTACAGATACCTGAGAGCTCCTATATATTTGTTTCTCAATTTCCCGCTGACGGTTGAGGGGCCTATAGTACAATCCCAATAAGGTGATCATCCCTTTCTAATTTCTCAGTTCCACCTAAACAACTTCCCTGGATGTTCTCCAAGCGATATCCTTCCTACGTACAACCGTACTGTTGTCCTTAACCAAAAAAACACTCCCCCTCCTCACTTTCCCCCTTTTCTATCCTTCCTATGGCATCTATACCCTGGATCATTAAGCTGTTCTCTCATTAGAGAGAGAGAGAGAGAGAGACAACTGGTTTAATCCTTGGGTCAGACAGCTTGAGCGAGGGGAGAGGTTGAGATGTACAACCCTATGTGGTAACTTTAGCCGATGTGGGAACTGAACGTTAGCCACATCACGCTACATCGCAAACCAGCCATCCAGCTAGCTGAGCCCTTTAGTAATTTCATAGTCACCATTACTGAGAATATTTTTTTTCCGTACTTTTTTATAAATGCAATGAATTTATATTTCACCATTTGTCGCGGTAGGATTTGAACTCATATCTCTGGAGTTGCACTTTTTTTTAAACAGAGAAATAAAGAAAATAGGTGCAGGAGTGGGCCATTCAGCCCTTCAAGCCTGCATCACCATTCAATATGATCATGGCTGGTCATGCAATTTCAGTCTCCCACGCTCGCTTTCTCTCCATACCCCTTGATCCCTTTAGCTGCAAGGGCCATGTCCAGCTCCCTCTTGAATATATCTAATGAACTGGCCCCAACAGCTTTCTGTGTAGAGACTTCCACAGGTTCACAACTCTCTGACTGAAGATCTTGTTCCTCATCTCAGTCCTGAATGGCTTATCCCTTATTCTTAGACTGTGCCCCCTAGCTATGGACTTTCCCAACATCAGGAATATGCTTCCCACATCTAGCCTGTCCATGCCCATCAGGATTCTATAGGTTTCTATGAGATTCCCCCCTCATTCTTCTAAATTCCAGTGAGTATAAACCCAGTCGATCCAGTATTTCTTCTACGTCAGTCCTACCATCCTGGGAATCCGTCTAGTGAACCTTCTTCGCTGTAGTCCCTCAATAGCAAGAATGTTCTTCTTCTTTTCTGATTTGGCTTTTGCCATGGTTTCTCCACTATGGCGAACGTTAGGGCAATTTAAAAAGCCAAGGCCATCCAGAATCGAGATGCCATTTACTGCGAAGAACTGAATCACAGAATTGTTTCTAGGCCATTCAGCCTGTCAGGTCTGCACTGACCCTCGGAGCACTTTCCCACAATGCCATTTTTCTGCCTTTTCCTTGTAACATCGCATGTGTTTTGTTTGAAATACTCACCATCTGCTCTCCTGAAGGTCTCAATTAAACCTGTCTCCACCACAATTCCAGGCAAATACCACAGCACTAGAGTACACCTTCTGGAGGGTTTCCTTCATAAACCTTTAGAAGACGAATGGATCTGGCTTAGGGAAGGGTGAAACAGGAAAATGCTCAATCACTTACAGAGTGTGTCATCTTCTGATACAGTCAGGTCCCACACTTTGTAGGCGAGGACTGCTCCCTTGGGAATCTCCATTGTTCTCTCAGTCAAAAGAGTGCACTCTGTACCTGCCTGAAGAAAAGTATACTCATTAAACGTAAACAGGCGTGAGATACAGTCCAATCAAGACCTACCTCTCTACAGAAATTAAGAAGCATGAATCACTGGTTTAAGTTTTTCTGTGAATCCAGGGATTTATATAACTGCCTTAAGAATCTATTTGTTTCGAATGGTCACTGAACCCTAAATGTTAACTGTTTTTCTCCTCCATGGATGCTGCCAGACCTGCTGAGTTTCTATAGCAATTTCCATTTTTGTTTCAGATCTTCAGCTTCCTCATTTCTTTGCTTTGTTTTTACGGTTTCCTATCCTATATTCTGCTCAGTGTTAATGTTAATCAGGACCTGAGTTCTCTCCTGTACTTGTTTTGTTCGCCAAAGCTGGGGTCAGGGCAGACTGTTGAATATCTTCACCCTGCTAATTGCCTTGCTTTTTAATCTTGTTTATTGCCTCTTGTAGGACATTACATCAGTGGTTCCCAATCTGTTCAGTACCCAAGGCAAACTTCAGTGAGACAAAAAGTTCCACAGTATACCCACTGTTTGCAGCTGAATTGATGACTCACAAATGTCCACATTTACTTACATATTCTCCGGTTATGGCCTTACTAGACAGCTTTGCAACACAGTTCATCCAATAAGTTAAAAAGGATGAAAAATATTAATGTTTCAAATATCCTATCTTTGACTGTGAAAAACTATGCATTTACAGCTTTGGAGGCCTGCACATGTACAGTTGATGGGAGTTCTTGGTGTCAGTGAATACTACCTTCAACAATAGACACTGAGGCTCTGCAAGAGATCAGAAGCGCCATGCAGCCTTGACACTCAGGTAAAGCAGTGCTGCTTCCCAGTTATTTTGTAGTAGTAGTCTCACCTAGCCATAGCTGACTAGTTGAAAACCACTTCATTACGTAACCTCAGGCGGAATGGATAGTGTCTGTATCATCTTCAAATCCCTCCATGGTCTTGCCCTACTCCATCTCTATAACCTTCACAAGGCCCTCTGACCCTGTGTGACCTCTGTTCCCCTCCCATTCAGGCCTTTTGCATTCCCTGAAATTTAATCACCCACCTCTGCAGGCCATCTCTTTGATCAGGGCTAGGATCAGAGCTCTCTAAATTCCCTCTCTAAACTTCTGGGCTCTTGGTCCCAGTTTAGAATTCCTTAAAACTGTTTGTGATCAAACATTTGATTCAGAATCATATAATCTCTACAGTACAGAAAGATGCCACTCAGCCCGTCGAATATTCACCAACCCTTCAAATAGCATCCCACCTAGATACAGCACCCTGCCCTATTCTTGTAACCCTGCATTTGCCATGGCTAATCCACTTAGCCTACACATCCCTGCACACGACAGGGCAATTTAACATGGCCCAAATTTACTTGCTCTAATACCTCCAAATGGTTCTTGGTGCTAAATTTTACACTGGATTACACAGGACTACAAAGGACATACAGCACAGAAACAGGCCGTTCAGTCTAAGCAGTCCAATGCTCCACACAAACCTCCTCCACCTTTCAGGTTATAACTATCTAGAACCATACAGTACAGAAGAGGCCCTGCAGCCCATCAAGTCTGTACTGCCAAAAATATAATAATCCCATCTCTATCCAATGCTTGTCTAGCTTCTCCTTAAATACATCTATACTATCTGCTTTGGTTAGCTTAGTTGGCTGGACTGCTGGTTTATAATGCAGAGTAATACCAACACTGGGCCCAATTCCTACACCAGCTGAGGTTAGCATGAAGGACTCTCCTTCTCAACCTCTCCCCTCAACTGAGGCACAGTGTCCCTCAGGTTAAACTAACACCAGTCATCTCTCTAATGATCTGGTAAGATTATGGTGACTTTACCTTAAATTCATTTCAATCATTTCCTGTCTTCACAAGCTTCTCATCACTCTTTGCCTAAAGAAGTTTCTTCTGAATTCCCTAAATTTCTTGCTGAACACCTTATATTAATTATCTCCAGTTATTGCTCCTCCCCACAAACAGAAACAATCTCACTATATCTGAAGTATCATAACATGTTATCATTTTAAAGTTTTCTAATATGATTCCTCCTCAGCCTTCATTTGTAAACAGAAAAGATTCAGAGTTTGTCAATCGTTTCCTGATTGAAGTGATCGCCTTGTGTCTCAGGTTGTTTGCTGTTGGGATGTTCTTTGCAGCATATTTTCCCAACAGTGACACGGACACTGCTTGTGTGACTCCCGTACTCTGATTCTGAACTTCCTGGATTCGTGGAAATGCACAGTGTGTAGTTCCATGTATGAATTGAGCTACCCTCTCAGTTGTCTGGTCTCAATGCCTGGTTGAATCACTGCACTCCCCTGGTCTGCACAGCATAATTCCCTCAACATCCACACTCCTTCTATCTGGACAGCACAGACACCCTGCAACCCTTACCCTCTGCTATGGTCCCCCACACCAAAGTGTACTCATTTTCTTCTTTGAGAGTTGGTCATCATGATTACAAAATATTTGCATTAATGCTCACCTTCTAGCGACTTCTCTGTTTGCTCTAGCCCTCAGTCATCGTCCAGGCTTCACCAATCAAGCACAGTGAGAATAGATCAGTTATCAGACTCTCATAATCAATCACTAGCTATCAACTATTCACCATGACAGACATCATGAAAGACACTATATAAATGCTGCTAGGTGTGTGGTGAGATTGTTCTATTTTAAGACATCTTTGTGCGACTGTTTTAGTAGATCGCTTTATGACTGAAAATGTTATTTCCCTTTCATTGATCTTGGTTACTCAGAAACTACAGCAGTCCCAATGGCTACTTTCTCAGTGCCATCAGCTACTTCATGCAGCCACCCATACCTTAGAGATGTCAGACAATGCGATGTACACTTTTGATTCTCCCTTGTTAAACTTCTTAAGTGAGATGGGCTTTACAGACATTAATGTTTCAGTTACGATGCAGAGATCTCCTGAGTAACTATTTTTAATCAGCTTCCAAGAAGGTCCAACTTTTCTGAAAGCAGAAGAGAATTGTAAATGAGTGGGATTTCAGAACATTCATTCTACAAAAATGCCAGAAACCCTGATATCCAAACCAAGGTGTTAGCTCTCGCAGCAGAGACATGTCAAGCATCAGCTTATGAGGACTGGGGTGAATTTTAATTTGTGACTTCCAAACCCATCCACAGGAGGAAATGTGGTACATACTTCCACCACTTCCTCTGGCAGATCATTCCATACACGCACCACCCTCTGTGTGAAAAAGTTGCCCCTCAAGTCTCTTTTAAATCTTTCCCCTCTCATCTTAAACCTATGTCCTCTAGTTTTGGACTCCCCCACCCCTGGGAAAAGACCTTGGCTGTTCAACCTATCCATTCCCCTTGTGATTTTATAAACATCTACAGGGTCACCCCTCAGCCTCTGACACTCCAGGGAAAATAACCCAGTCTATTCAGCCTCTCCCTATAGCTCAAACCCTCCAACCCTGGCAACATCCTTGTAACCTTTCCTGAACCCTTTCAAGTTTCACAACATCTTTCCTATAGAAGGGAGACCAGAATTGCACGCATTATTCCAATAGTGACCTAACCAATGTTCTATACAGCTGCAACATGACCTCCCAATTCCTATGCTCAATGCACTGTCCAATAAAGGCAAGCATACCAAACACCTTTTTAACTGTCCTGTCAACCTGTGACTCCACTTTTAAGGAACATGGAACCTGCACTAATAAGTACCACCATGTTTTCAAATTATTCTTTCAGGAGATGTGGGCATCGCTGGCCGTGCCATCTCTAATTAACCTTGAAGGGGTCCCTATCTAATAAAAGAAGTCAGGCTGGCTACAGTGTCAATAAGAAGTCCTCCTGCTGAAACATTGGCAGCCCACTGTTAGAGATGCAAGCTGCTGATGTAGGTTGGGATGCAAGTATAGGTTTGGGAGACTCAGTAGTCACGTTCAAAAGATCAACTCTTGGAGGAAGAATAATTGCAAGGATTTGTGGAAAGAGGGAGGGAGTGAAACCAAATGGGCCTCAAAGGAGTGGTACGGATTTGATGGCCCTTTTCTGTTCTGCACTGCCACGTAGATTAAGAACGAAACTTATTTTGTTCCCTGCAGACATTGCAATAACTTCAAAACAGAACACAACTGCCTGACATTCATCTCAGAGGATGTACACCCTCCACAGGGTACATATAGACACAGCTCTAGCCATCTTGCAAGTACAGCCAAGAGGTTAGAATGGGGTTAGTGGGTGGAGGGTTAAACTGATGGATGAAGCACTGGCTCTCCGGTCTGATGTCGGGAAGCCACTTCCATTCTTCGGCTGAGATTTCACCTAAGTGAGGAATCACAACTGCTGACTGTCCCATGCCTGCACACTGGCCAAGATGGGCTAACTAAAAGCTGCTTGTGGGAGTATAACCAATCAGTTCCCTCACCCTGACCTGCCTCAACCAGCCTCTCCAAAAATTGCCCCAAGGCAGGACCACATCATTAAACCAGTGAGCGGGCTGGTGGCAGGAAATGACAGGCCTGCCCTGATCATTTCTCTGCGTCCCCTTGGGTCTATTCCACTAATTGACCTATTGGAGGCAATGACAAAGATTACTAAAGGGTTTAGCTTGAGTAAATAAACAGAAACTGTTTCAAATTGATGAAAGGTGGATGATCAGAGTTTTTATACCAGAGACAACATGAAGACAAATGATTGTCTCAGATTTGGAAACACTGCCTGCTAGTCTCAGTAGTCACCTTTACCAAATCAATTGTTAAAGGAGAAGCTATTGCAAGGATGTGTGGGAAGGGAGCGTGGTGTTGGGAGGTGAAACCAAACGGGCCTTGAAGAAACCAGTAAAGATTCGATGCCCCGAATGGCCCTTTTCTGTTCTGTACTGCTCTCTCAATTAAGATGATTAAGAATGTAATTTACTTTCAGAAATTGCGATGAACCTCCCATTCAAAAATATTCTTTTAATGACTTTCACAAAGCTCAATTTAACACACACAAAATTTGTTTAGATGCAAGTTTACAAACTGTCGACATGTTCTCTCCTGACAAATGACTAGCTCAGTCACGGAGGGCAGAATCAGTGTTGCCTTACCCAACACAAGTTGAGGCAGACTTGTTGGGCCACCTGGTATTGTCCTTTTGTCTTACAGTAACAACAGATCCTTTCTCAAGTAACATTTCTAAAATGGCTCTATGTCTATATTCTCATTAGTGTACTTTACCGATCTTTCAGGCTTTTGATTAGCTCTGAGACACTGATGTGAAGTTGTTTGGCTCCTTGTAGTTGAATGGTGTCACATTTGGCTTTTGAACCTTCAACTTTTCCTGTGATTGATTCGAAACTGACTTTTGCCTTTCCTTTGATGAGCCCATCCATCGTCTCCAAGAAACTGAAGGACATCTCCTCCTGCTGAACTATATGAAATGAAGTGAAATGCTTATTAAAGTGTAGCACAGGCTGACATTTTCTCCATTGGTATTTAGTTTTGCATCTGGTTCATTCAGTTACAGCAGCAATTGCTAGACACAATCTCTTTCCCAATGGTACTGGAGTTGATGGTAGCACCTTGCTATTACAGATAACAGCACAAAGCAAAGAAACACACAGAGAAGGCAGAAGAATGAGGGAATGGCAAAAAACAACAAACATGTAGTTTTGTAAAACCTTTTGAAAATTCCAAACTAAAATGGGGTTATTTTCTAAGCTGATTGCTTATTCCTGAGTTTGAGAAAATACTCTTTAGACTCTGAAAGTTTAGAGCTCTTTGTGTTCAGTACAGCTTTGCCAAGCTGCTTGGTACATAGACTACATTAAACCAGCATCTTATTATGTCAATTACTCTCTACTGCAGCCAAGACTGTGGCACCTGGAACATGACATGTAATAATTGGTTCATGGTTAATTAGTTCTGAACTCCTTACAGACTACACAGAGTTGGACAAAATAGGGCAGCAGCAGATTTGTGATTGTGCAATTTTGTTTGCTAATGACAGCAATGCATTGTCATCATTATTGAATAAATATAGAGTTAGGCTTGCCTGGAGGAGTGTAGCCCAAACATACTCAAGAAACTTGACACATCCAGGAGAAAGCTTGATTGGCACCGCATCGACAAACACCCATTCCCTCCAACACCAATGCTCTGTAGTAGCAGTGGGTGCTATCCACAAGATGCACTGCTGTAATTCTGAGATTCTCAGACAACCACTTCCTTCTAGAAGGACAAGGGCAGCAGATAAATGGGAGCACCACCACGTACAAGTTCCCCACTAAGGCACTCACCATCCTAACTTGGAAATATATCACCATTGGTTCATTGTCACTGGGTCAAAATCCTGGAATTCCCTCCCTAAGGGCATTGTGACTATACCTACAGCACACGGAATGCAGCGGTTTCTCAGGGAGCAACTAGGCCTGTCTTGTGGCCTGTCTGGTGCCCAACACTTACACTGAAATGAGAGTCCAAGCCTAATTTAAGATTGGGCCCAGAATGGTGTCAACAATTCCTAATTATTTTCTGTGCCTGTTGTATTTCTTCCTCAAGGATTTTCAATCAGATTCAGATTTTCTGAAATCGTTGCTGTTGAGGCCTAGACTGAACCTCCTTTAGATTCCAACTCTTTCCACCACACGCTGACCCTTTCTCACTTCCCCACTCTATAGTCACACTATTCTCCCATGGCTCTGATTGATTCTTTTATGTAGCAACACAGCTCTGAGAAATTGTTCAGTGAGATCAAAGACTTAGATCACAAATCGCTTTAGGAGATACTGTTTAAAGTTTTCTTCCATAATTCTGACCAACGTTCCTGCAGCTATTGATAATAATAAAGCATAAAATAAATTGGGATTTCAAAGAATGCTCCCCAAATAGGACCACCACATAATGAGCTTCTGAACTGTAGGCATGAAAGCCCAGGACAGTCTGTGTTGAGTTAGGTGGTCTCAGCTGAGGCATCTTTTAGGAAATTGCTATTAGTCCAAATGCCAAAACAGGAAAATTCAACTCAAAGTCACCCTCTAAATCTTAATCACGTGCAGATGCTGGATGTCAGATGCACATACAAAGATGTTGGAGAAAGGAAGATGAGATGAAATGGTGGATGTGAGCACAGTTACAATGTTTAAATGACACTTAGATAAGTATATGAATAGGAAAAGGTTTGTAGGGATATGGGCTAGGAGCAGGCGGGTTGGACTAGTTTAGGTTGGGATTATGTTCGGCGTGGACTGGTTGGACCAAAGGGCCTGTTGCCATGTGGTATGAATCTATCACTATGCCTAACAGAGGAAGGACTGGTATTCATGAACAGAACATCCCAGAATGATATGCATTCAATGAAATACTTTTGATGTTGAGTCATTGTCATATTGTAAATAATTTGTGTACAGCAAGCTCCCACAAAAAGTAACGTGGAAATGACCAGATAATCAGTTTCCCATTGATATTGGTTGTGGGATAAATATTATCTGGGATACCTGGGTGATCTTCGTTGCTTTTCATCAACATAGTGCAATGGGATCTTTCACTCCCAGCTGAGAGACCAGACAGGCCTCAGTTAAAATGTGAGGGCACCTGCCTCTACAGCATTTCCTCATTGCTGCCATAAAGTGTCACCACAGATTAAACACCCAGGTAAGGCTTGAACCCACAAATGTCCAACTCACAATCTGGCACACATGTGAATGCTGCCCACTTGGGTCAGTTACCAGAGGGACTGGATAAACAGTAAATCAATAAAAGTGTCAACATTTCCAGAAAAGGAGATAAAAATGCTTGAGGAAGCAAAAGGACTGAGAAGAACACACAAAAGATTCCAGCCCTCAGCGCTCACAAAGACCCTGACAATATTGTTCAATGAACACACACAAACGCAGGAGATAACTCACCTGATACCAAGTTGTCTTCATCATCCAGTATATGTTTCAGTTCGAAATCAGTGGGGCAATACTTTGGTTTTCTCCAGAATGGACCAGTTGTTTTCCTGTAAACCAGACACAGAGGCTTAAACCTCTCAGCGTCATAAGCACTGGTGGCTGGGATCAGCCCACCTCCAGAATCAATTTGATCAATGAAGTGCCTTACTGCTTTTCGAAACATCCTAAAATGAGAGAAAATGCATGTTCAGTGAGGTACCATCAAATGGTAGGGAGTGGCACAGCCTCTAACCCAGTGGATGCATTGAGGTGACATCTCTCTCAATTATGGTAATTTCCAGGGGGACACTGGGAATTAAGTGACATGGAAGATTAGTGAAGCAAGAATCCATCCATTCAACAATTTGCATTCAGATCGCACCTTTAATACCAGGCACTTCATAGAAGCATCATTAGACAATAGTTCACATTATGCCAAAGACTGAAACGTTACGACAGATGACCAAAAAACTTAGTCAAAGAGGCAGCTTTAAAGGAAGATCTGAAAGGAGGAAGGTACAACGAGACTTAGAGAGAACATTTTACAGCTCAATGAATGATTCAGGAAGTAGTGGAAGGGGAAGGGGCCCAGTTCCGATTGTTGCAGAGCTCAGAGAGGTGCAGGGCTGAAGGAGGTCACAGGGATGGGGGGGATAGCATCATGTACGGAGTTGAACAGGGTAGTGAGCATTTCAACATCAAGATGTTTGTAAATTGGTTGCTAACAGAGTCAATGAGTGCCACTGTTTCAACCACTCCATAACATTGTGCATTGTGGACTAAAAAAGAAGAGATAGAAAAGCAGCAGGCACAAACGGAGATGGATAAAGAAAAAGAGAGATAGAGAGATGCTGACATACAACAAGAGCCATTTCTGAAGAAGGGTCCCAACCTGAAATGTCAGCTTTCCTGCTCCTCTGATGCTGCCTGGCCTGCTGTGTTCATCCAGCTCCACACTGCGTTATATTATACAAATCAAGCCTGCTTTCTCTAGCATTTAGATAGTAAAGGCGAGATCTGATTGAAGTCTTTGAGATATTAACAGGAAAAGACAGATAAATAAGATAAGCTATTTCCACTGGCTGGGGATTCTAGAACTAGGGGCATAGTCTGAGAATTAAGGCCAGACCATTCAGGAGAGATGTTAGGAAGCACTTCCACACAGAAAGTGTGGTAAAGGTTAAAGTGTGGTCTCTTCCACAAAGGGCAGTGGTTGCTGCATAATTTGTTAATTTTAAATCTAAATAGATAACTTTTTTGTTAAGCAAAGGTATTAAGGGATATGGGCCAAAGGCAAGTGTATGGAGATAGGCCACAGATCAGCCATGATCTCATTGAATGGTGGAACAGGCTTGAAGGGCTGAATGGCCTATTCCTGTTCCTATGTTCCTAGTGACACTTCTGTGAAGCATTTAAGATATTTTACTAAAGGCACTAAATAAATGAAAGTTGTTGCTACTGGAAAGTGTACTGTGACCACAAAAGAGCTGGGGAAAGTTTCATAGAAAAAACAAATGGTAGGGTCTGCAATACCTACGAAGACAGGAGTGATTAAATGACAAAAGTGATGAAGTGAAACAGAGCAAATTGAATTCACAATGGAACAAGAGAATGGAGAGAGAGAGAGTCATAGAGGCACAGGAACAGCTCCTTCGGTCTAACTCGTCCATGCCAACCTGATATCCTATATGAATCTCGTCCCATTTCCCAGCATTTGACCCATATCCCTCTAAACCCTTCTGATTCATGTACCCATCCAGATGCCTTTTAAATGTTGTAATTATACCATTCTCCAACACTTCCTCTGGCAGCTCATTTCATAAACACACCACCCTCTGCATGAAAAAGTTGGCCCTTAGGTCCCTTTTATATCTTCCCCTCTCACCTTAAACCTATGCTCTCTGGTTTTGGATTGCCCCACCCCAGGGAAAAGACATTGTGGCACAGTGGCTCGGTGGTTAGCTCTGCTCTCTGACAGCACCAGGGTTCAATTCTAGCCGTGGGTGACTGTCTGTGTGGCGTTTGCACATTCCCCCTGTGTCTGCGTGGGTTTCTGCAGGGTGATCTGGTTTCCTCCCACAGTCCAAAGATGTGCAGGTTAGGGTGGATTGGCCATAAATTGCCTGTAGTGTCCAGGGATGTGTAGGTTGGGTGGATTGGCCGTGGGGGGTGTGTCTGGGTGGGATGGTCTTTGGGGAGTTGGTGTGGACATGTTGGGCCGAATGGCCTGTTTTCACACTGTATAGATTCTATGAAATTTACCCTATCCGTGCCCCTCCTGATTTTATAAACCTCTGTAAGGTCACCCCTCAGCCTCCAACGTTCCAGGGAAAACAGCCCCAGCTTATTCAGCCTCTCCCTCTAGCTCAAACCCTCCAACCCTGGCAACTTCCTTGTAAATCTTTTCTGAACCCTTTCAAGTTTCACAACATCTTTCCTATTGGAGGGAGACCAGAATTGCACGCAATACTCCAAAAGTGTCTGGACCAATGCCCTGTATAGCCACAACATGACCTCCAAGCTGCTATATTCAAGCACTGGCTAATAAAGACAAGCATACCAAAGAGAAAAGGACAGAGACCGAGAGAGAGAGAGAGAGAGTGAGAGAGAGAGACAGAGACGAAGACATACAGGTGAGTTATAACCAAGCAAGAGAAGAGAACATTTTGTAAAAGAAATCAAAGCCCTTAGCTTTCAGTACAAGGCAGCTTGTGGAATGGGCAGAAATTCCTCTCAAGAAAATGTTCAGTTAATGTGTCAAAAAATAAGAATCTGATATATTACAGTACTCCAGAATTTCTCAATACAGATATGACTCACTAACACCAAGTACCCTCGGGCTAGCATTGTGTTAATGAAATGTTAATATTATTCATCAAAGTTAAAAGATGGTCCTTGCTGTAACATTCTCAAATAACACAGCTTCTGAAACAATCATCACAGTGTCTAGCTTACTCACTAACATAGAAAGCTCTGGAAAGGCTTTGTTCCTGATATTCTGACCAAAGGGATTATTAATGCAACACTTGGAGTGATTTCACAGTAATGTATTTTTTACACAGATTCTGTATACACACTGTGTTCAAACACTGAAACTGGGATTTTAATGTTAAATGGGCACAGGTCAAAGTGGGTGTCATGGCAGCATCACCATCCATCTGGTGAGCATGAATGAAATTCAGGCAGCTGTTGCTCTTGGGTTACTGGGCAATGTGTAGCACTCAGATAAATGGCCATAGAGCCATAGAGATCTACCCAGTTTACAGCACAGAAAAGGCCCCTTTGGCCCATCGCATCCACACCAGTCAAAAACAGCCACCCAACTAAACTCATCCCATTTTCCAGCACTTGGCCCATAGCATCGCATATACACATCTAAATACTTCTTAAATGTTATGAGGGTTTCTGCCTCAATCACCCTTACAGACCATAGTAAGTTCCAGATTGCCACCAATTCTCTGGCTGATAAAGCTTTTCCTCACATCCCACTAAACTTCCTTCCCCCTTACCGTAGATCCATGCTCTCTCCAACAGGGGGAAACATTTCTTCCTGTCTATCTGTGCTCCTCATAATTTTATACATCTCAACTACGCCCCTCTCAGTCTCCTCTGCTCTATGGAAAACAACCCCACTTTGTCCAGTCTCTCTTCAGAACCGAAACTCTCCAGCCCAGGTACCATCCTGTTAAATTGCCTCTGCAATCTCTCCAGTGCAATCATATTCCTTGTGTTATGTGGATTCCAGAACTGCACACAATTCTCTAGTTGTGGCCTAAACAATGTTTTATAGAGTTCCAGTAGAACTTCCCTTCTCTTAAACTAATAAAGACAGGCATACCATACACCTTTTTAATCATTTTATCCACCTGATACTTTAAGAGACCACTGGACATGCACACTAATTATATTTGTCACCGATCAGCCCATCTGACCAGCCCATTTATATCCTCCTGTAATCTAAGACTATCCTACTCACTATTTACCGCCCAACCAATTTTTGTATCATCTACGAATTTGCTTTTTTTTATTCATTCACGGGATGTAGGCATTGCTGGCTAGGCCAGCATTTATTGCCCATTTCTAATTTCCCAGAGGGCAGTTAAGAGTCAACAACATTGCTGTGGGTCTGGAGTCACATGTAGGCCAGACCAGGTAAGGACGACAAATTTCCTTCCCTCAAGGACATCAGTGAACTAGGTGGGTTTTTCCTGACAACAGACAATGGTTTCATGGTCACCATTAGGCTTTTAATTCCATATTTTTATTGAATTCAAATTCCACCATCTGCCATAGCAAGATTCAGACCCACATCACCAGAACATTAGCTGGGTTTCGGGATTAATAGTCCAGCAATAATACCACTAGGGCATCACTAGGGCATACCTGTATAGGTAGGCTAATCAAGCAGGTAGGTCCAGAGGAAGGAATTGTAGGTAAGTGGGTGGGAGGTGGGAATCCTCCCTCTGGGGTCCAAGGAGCATTCCTGATGCTCTCTACCCTCAGACAATCCAAAATGAAAACTCAAACACAATCACAACAGTCCCATCCCTCCCATTCACCTTGGATCCCAACAAGAAACATGACATGTGGAATCAGCAGGTAAATGTGTGTAATAGGACCATGACAATTATATATTAATAAGGTTAACATCAGGCAAGGATTCCTGATGCCGCTTGGAATCCAGTGGTAATCTGGGCAGGATCCCTTGGGAAAAGAGGGAAGATGCGAGCAGCATTTTTTCTTCCTCATTTCCATTGGATAGGTTAAAATTGTCCCTTCAAAACTGTAAGTGCAGCTCCATCGTTCTCTCTCTCTCTCTCCCCCCTTCTCTCCAGCTGCTTATATTTATACCACATGCAGAAAACAAAGGATGTGGATATTGGAGGCCAATTCGCTCAGCCTCAGGACGACGCTGCAGTAGATCCTCAGGGTAGTGTCCCAGACCTAACCATCTTCAGCTGCTTCATAATTAACCTCAGCCATAAGGTTAGAAGTGGCAACATATGCTATCGAGTACACAGCGGTGAGCTTGAGTCACAACTCCTTAGATATTGAAGCAGTCTGCATTCATATGCAGCAAGACTGGGACAATATCTAAGCTTGGGCCAATAAGTACATTCCTGCCAAACAAATGCCTGGAAATAATAATCTCCTGTAAGAGAGAATAATGATCCCACTTGACATTCAAAGACATTAGCAACACTGCATTTGCCATCATTAACATGCAGGGGATTATCATTGACCAGAAACTGAACTGGACTAGCCATACATACTGTGGCGAAAAAGATCCGAAGCTGGGGATCATCTGGCAAGTTACTCACCTCCTGACTTCCTAAAGCCTGCCCACTATCTAAAAGGCAGAGGTAACAGTGTGGTGGAACACCCTCTGCTTGGCTGGTTGAGTTCAAGGAAAATACTTAAGAAACTCAGCATCATTCAACACAAAGTAGCCCACTTGAGCAGCACTCCATTCACCATTGTACGCATTCACTCCCTCCATCACCAATGGTTACAGTATGTAACATCTACAATGTGCCCCGCAGCAACTTGCCACAGCTCCTTTGATAGCACTTTCCAACACACAAATGCATAATTCTGACTTGGAAATTTATTGCTGCTGAGTCAAAATCCTGGAACAACAGTAATTGGTCATGAATAAAACGGGTGTCTCCTCTCCCATTCACTCTTTCTCTCTTGCTTTTCTCTCTTTTTCTCCATCCTACCCATCTTTTTTTGTCTTTCACCATCTACCCTACTCTCTTTTCCCAGCTCTCTTCAAACACTTAGTCCTCACACCTCTATTTTATCCCTCAGAGATAGTAAGAACTGCCGAAGCTGGAGTCAGAGATAACAGTGCGGAGCTGTGTTCCTCCAGCTCCACACTGTGTTATCTATATTTTATCCCTCCCTTCTCCCACTCTATTCTGTCTATTCGTCCTCATCTTCTCCCTCTTTCCCGACTCTCTCTCTCTTCCCGTTTCCCTCCCCCTCGTCTGCCCAGTTACCATAGAGCTCTATGCACAGCTCTACGCCAGTCTACACTCTCTGTCTCCCATCTATTCCCTCTCTCTCTTACACACACCTTTCTCCCCACTCTTCACCATTCTCTTCCACTACACGCTCCCACTCATCACTCCCCCCCACCTCACCCCAGCTGCCGGCTCTCTCTCACACAAATGCATGTGAAAGTGATACTTCAGTTCGGAACAAGTGCAGGTTCACAGTTATGGGGACACTCACTCTGATACACGCCAGCCCCAAACACAAGACAGTGATATCCGACAGACTCTCGCTGCTTACTTCGCTTCTGTCCTCCCCAAATAAAGTTCTCAACCCAGGGCCATGCTGGCATCATTCGTGTTGATTTTGACTTTTAAACTCCCTTCGCAGACACTGACGAATTTCCAATGGCATTACAAGGGAACACCCTTCGTTCAAAGTTATTTCGCAATCTTTCGTCGGAGTGGGAGTGGTGAGGAAATTTAATTATTGTGTAATTTCCACGATGATGATATCCTCGGCAAGTATCAGAATATATGAAAAAAAAAGCGTTTTCGCTAAACCAGCAAGAAGAAAGATAACTTCCTCAACCTGAAGGATCTTGACTTCTGAGCACTATTTTAGTGAGAGGTTCCATTGATGCGATACTCTCCCCTCTGTGTAACAACTGGTTAACAATACAAATGAAACGGCATTTGAGGGTAAGGGTAATTATTCCTTCAAGGAGAAAATTTGGAACGATTATATTTTCTCACCATTGGTAGTTACTGTCATCAATCCCTACAATTCTGGAACACAGTGGAAATGGTGCTATAACTATATTACCACCGGCTTAGAATTCAGAAGGCCAGGTTAATCATCTCAGGGCAAGGCTTCTAATACAATCATGGTGGCTTGAGTAATTTACATTTGTTTAATAATTTTAGAATATAAAACTAGTGACAGTAATAGTGACCATAAAACCAACACTGATTGTTGTAAAAACCCATCTGGCTCATTAATATCCTTTAGGGTAGGGAATCTGCCATCCTTACCTGGTCTCGCCTACATGTGACTCTACACCCACAGCAATGTGATCGACTTTTAAATGCCCTCTGAAATGGGCTCTGAAACCCATTTCTCTGAAATTCAAGGATGATTAGGCATGGGCAACAAATGCTGGCCTTTCCAGAAAAACACAGATCCCAGGAAAGAAGAAAAGTACTTACACTTCTTTCCCTCTTAATTAAAATCTAACTCATTGACAAATCATTTGGTCATCTGCCCTATGTGACCCACTGTCATTCGTTACAATGCTCCTGTGAAGTGACTTGGGATGTTTCATTATGTTAAGTGTGCTATTTAAATATAAGTGGTTGTACTACAGTCTATCAGGTTGTGCAAAGCCTTAAATGTGAGAAATAACTGGATACTTACATTTCTATTTCTGGAGGTTCAGAATGGGTGAAGCATGTTAAATCTGTTTCTGATAGACAGACAGACAGTCTGACATTTTTCAAGGACCACAACATTGTATATACTCTCAACTATTTGCACACTTCTAGACCTACCTTGGCTTGACAGGGTAGATGTTGAGAGGATGCTTTCCCTTGTGGGGATATCTGGAATTAGGAGGCACTGTTTAAAGATCCCAGTCTTCCATTTAAGACAGAGTTGAGGAGGAATTTATTCCCTCAAAGAGCAGTCAGTATTTGGAATTTGCTTCCACAGTGAGCAGTACAGTTGAGTCATTGAATATATTAGACAGATATTTGGGGAAGGGGACAAACAGGAAATTGAAGTTAAGGTAACAATCAGATTAGCCGTGGCTGGCAGACCAGGCTCAATTGGTCAAATAGCCTAATCCTATTTCTTATGATATTTGATATTTTAACTTGCTAGCCATTTTGACATTCATAATAATTTTATATTTTATAGATTTCCATAATAATTTTACAGACATACCAAACAAAACCATTGACAGACAAGATGAAGTGGACATCATAAAAATAGGTAGAAAAACAACAAGGCAAACCATTAACCCAGCATTAACTGTGAGCTGGGGAAAGGTGACGGACACGCAGAGAATGGGTTCAATAACCAACCTCAAACCTGGCAACCGCACATTCCATTACATTTCAGTGATAGGGCTGTGTCTTTTGGGTATGTTTTGCAGGAGCCTGATCTGTATCCTAAATGGGCAGAGTGTGGTTAGGTTTCTTGCTTCTGAGTTTTTAAGGCTATAAAGACCGTAATGTGTAGAAGTATAAGTAGGCCAATCAGCCCATTTGGGCCACTCTACATTTCAATGAGATCAAGTCTGAGCTGATAATCATCAAATTCACTTACCTGCTTTTTCCCAAAAACAAAATACCTAATGGTCCAGCCTTGACAGCCCTCTGTGGTAAAGAATTCCAGAGATTCACTACCCTCTGAGAGAAGAAATTTCTCCTCATCTCTGTCTTAAATATGCGATGCCTTATTCTGTGACTATGCTGTCTGGTCCTGGACTTTCTCAAAAGGGAAAACAATATTTCAACATCTACCCTGTCAAGTCTCCAAGAGCCTTGTATGTTTCAGTAAGGTCACCTCCCATTTTTCTTTATTGTAATGAGTACAGGCCCAATCTACTCAACTTCTCCTTATACGACAGTCCCTCCATACCTGGGAGAAGCCTAGTGAATTTTCTCTGGACTGTTTCCACTGCCAGTATATCTTTCCTAAGATAAGGAGTCCAAATGGTTCACAATATTTCAGCTGTGGTCTGTTAGTGCCTTGTACAGTTTTAGCAAAGCCTCCCTACTTTTATACTCCATCCCCTTTGAGATAGAGGAGAACATTCTATTTGCTGTCCTATTACCTGCTAAACTTCCGTGGTAGCTTTTTGCGACTCACGGACAAGGAATCCTAAATCCTTCTGTGCTGTAGCTTTCTGCAGCTTTTCAACATTTAAATAATATGCAGCTCTTCAATTATTCCCGCCAAAGTGTATAACCTCACATTTCCCCACATTTTATTCCATTGGCCGAGGTTTTGCCCACTCACTTAACTTGTCTGTATCTCCCTGCAGACTGTTTGTGTGATCCTCACCACGTGCCTTCCCATCTATTTTGTGTCATATGCAATCTTGTCATTCATTTTCCTCATTCAATTCATTAATATATTGTAAATAATTGTGGCCCCAGCACTGATCCTTGTGACCATAAAACCACTACATTCAGGTTGAAATTCTAAAAATGCCCCCCTTATCCCAACTCTCTGTCTTTTATTAGTTTGTCAATCCTCTATCAATGCTAATAAATTACCTCCAATACCATGGATTCTTATTTTATTAAGTAGCCCAAGGTGAAGTACCTTATCAAACACTTCTGAAAATCCAAATATATTCCAACCATTGCTTCCTCTTTATCTATCCTCCATGTTACCTCCTCAAAGAATTCCCAGACTTCCCAGTTTTTAAAGGGTGCAGGGGTTAGAATCAAAACCATTGAGAATGTAACAGATTGACATAAAGATGCTGTCTCAGTCCCTCTTCTTTATTTTACAGAATAGCAAAATGGTTTGAAATATAATCTCATTTGACCCTGAATCGAATACACAGATTCAACCACTGTATACTGCACAGCATGTGTCAGCCAACCACATGAATTTGATGCCTCACCACATGTAGTATGATTGCGACACAATCATTTTGTACCAACTACCAAAATAAGGAAGACTTGTCAGTTGCTGAGATCTCAGAACATGGAACAGATCGCAACAACTTTCCCACTAGAGACCTTTTGGTGGAGACCCCTCATTTCACCTTCTGGCATGTCAAGAGCTCATCAAATGAATAGTGAAGAAAAGCTCACTATAAGCTTTTCCCATTATATGAAAGTAGCAGAGAAACCATTATTTCGACCAACAAATCAATGCCTGCCACAACTAGTCTCTGCAAGTATTAAGATAATGAGGAACAAAAAGCAATAATACTCAAACAAGGCCTATAGAGACAAGATGCTGAACAAAAGCTTTCGAACAAGCTTCAAAGCTTCAACCCAGACTTGGAAATGCATTTTAAAGTCACTAAGCACCAAATAATTGGTTCATTTACTCTGCAATATTGATGTAATACTTATTTTATTAGAAAGTAACACAACAATGTGTTGTAACCATGCATGTGAAACCTGCCAGCACACTCATGTACAAACCTTAATGATATAATTATGGCCTTACAGTATTACCCCACATAACTGCACATTAACCACACATATGCACACACTCATACAGAAAAAACAATGGTGTAATGATGCTGTACTGGAGGCACACCAGTTTAAAACCCACTACTGCAAGTGGCACAATTTAAGTTCAATTAATTGTAAAAATATTGGAATTAAATCTAGTCTTAGTAATAACAACCATGAAACTGTCATCAATTGTAAAATTCTTCTGGTTTTATTCCCCATTAGAAGTAACTCACCTCCTGACTCTCCAAAGCCTGTCCACCATCTACAAGACACAAGTCAGGAGTGTGATGGAATACTCCCCATCTGCCTGGATGGGTGCAGCCCCAACAACGCTCAAGAAGTTTGACACCATCCAGGACAAAGCAGCCTGCGCAATTGGCACCACATCCACAACCATCCAGTACCTCCATCACTGCTCGGTAGCAGCAGTGTGTACTATCTACTAGATGCATTGCAGAAGTTCACCAAAGATCCTCAGACAGCACCTTCCAAATCCATGACCACTTCCATCTAGGAGGACAAAGCAGCGGACACACGGGAACACCACCCCCTACAAATAGCCTTCCAAGTCACTCATTATCCTGAATTGGAAATATATGGCTGTTCCTTCACTGTCACTGGGTCAAAATCCTGGAACTCCCTCCCTAAGGACATTTGGGTCAACCCACAGCACGTGGACCACAGTGGTTCAAGAGGCAGCTCACCACCACCTTCTCAAGGGGCAATTAGGGGTGGGCAATAAATGCTGGTCAGAGAGTGATGCCCACAAAAGAATAAAAATGAACTTTCACCCTTACTTGATCAGCCAAATCCAGATCCATGATGATGTGGTTGACTTTTAAATGTCTGGGGGGATGGGCAACAAATGGGAATCTTTCCATTAATGCCTTATTTCCAAGAAAGAATTTTTTAAAATGCCAATCGACATTATAGAGATCCCTTCTAAACATTACTGTCCTTCTTAACCTTCATTGTCTTCCAAACCTCCAAACATTTCACCCTCATATTTTAACGCATTTGCGCACTTGCCTCAGAACTCCCTTTCCAATGTCTGTCGCAATGTGTGAACACTACCTTCTCTTCGACTCATCACTTATTATGGCTATGTCTTTATCTGTCTAGATCTGAAATTCTGGAATTTCCTCCTTCAACTTTCCTGCCTCTTCCGCTTCTCAAAACCTTGCTCTTTGTCTAAACCCTCGGTG